TGGACAACCGCAGAGGTTCTCCATGGAGGCTTATTTTTACCGATACGTTTCTTCATAAGAGGTGCATGCATGCATGCTTATCAAGGACTTGTGTAAGGTTAGTTAACCATTGATATCACATGCATAACATTAAGATCATCTGACGAGCAAGAATTTTTCCAGTCAATCGTAGTTAAGTCGTTCAGATATGCTTTCGTTAAAATGCTTTAATTGTCGTTTATGAACAAAAGAATTAACAGTTTTTCCTTGCCATGTGGTTTTGCGAACAAGATACACAAGTGAGTGATCCACTTATTATACCAAGCGACTGGACACCGGAGACTGATATCTTGTTCGGGGTGTTTGTAACACAGAGATTAAGTAAAGACTACGAAGTATTAGTCACTCGTGTTGGTTTCTCAATAAGTTGAGTAAGATTATAAATTTTGAAAATAACCAAAAGCTTAAGAGTATTAGCGTTGGGCGTTTGAGTTAATAAATCACAATTTAGGTCACCGAGTAGATACATTTCGGCGTTTTCAGAATCAATTTTATCAATTATCTGCTGGAAGAGAGAGAATAGATGCTGTGTAGAGTTAGGGGGTCTATACAAAGTCCCCTACCATTAAAGGCTTAGAACGAGGGTTAGAAATCTGAACAAATAGTAGCTCAAGTTCGGAGTTTACTAAATCACTACGGACTTTATTAAAGTTTAAATTACTTCTAACATACAAACACACCACATGCACCGACGTTGCGACTAAGGTGTTGTCTATCACTTCCAACAAAGTCGTAACCGGAGATTTGAATTTGGTTATTTGTAATCGAGGAATCCAGTTTTGTTTCGTTAATTGCTAGTACATCAATGTTAGACCTTATACTTTGTTTATAAATACGTAACTGATCAATGTGGGCATGAGACTGCTAATATTTAAACATGCAATATAGACAGCCGACGACTACGAAAATTAGATAAAGAAACATTAGAATTCGGCGTCGAAGAACGACTAGCAAGTAGCCACCGTACGCTAACCGACTCCCCAATGGCATATTCCAAGCTTGATTGGATATAGTTTGATATGTTCTTAGCTAGTAGAGTTGTCCCTTTATAACTAAGGTGTAAGCCTCTTGAATTCAGACAAGTTGCATTAATAAATTTATGATCAATAAACTTCCACTTACTTTTGCTGCAAATAGCATAAATTAACTTGTTTGTTTCGTTAACTTTGGTAGATAAACCTGGCTTGTCTGATCTTGTCATTAAACTCGATATAACTTCTTCTGTTGTTGGCGAATTTTCTTAAATTTGAGTTGCTATCGCAATCCTTTCCGGCCGCTACACGATTAGGAGATAATTTCTCTAGGTCATTTGTGCAAAAATGCAAAATAACTTTTTGAGGCTCTTTCCGGATAACTGGTTTAATATAATCATCCATAATCTTCCATATAATCTGAAGTAGTGGCACGGGCAAAACTTTTAACAACAACATGAATCTCTGGCGTGGAAAGACACCAGCCTTGTAGAGTTTTCAGCATCGAGTCACCAATAACCACAGTCACTTTCTTCGCATGATTATACGTAGATGATTTCCCGTTTCGCGAATCATGCTCAACGCTATTAACTAAATCCTAATTTAGTGAATTTGCATGTGAATTTTATCCACAATTTCCTGTGTTTGAACGCAATGAATTAACAGCTATGTCATTTTGCTCTTAGATATTAAGTCACTGATTTGACTGCCCAGCTGGGTCGTTAGAATTTGGATTCATATTAGAGGGATTAACAGCATGATTTTCCTGTAGATGATTCTTTCCTTAATAGTTGATAAAGATTTATTCTTTTTATACTTGCGTTTCAACTCTTTTGTTTTTAGCGAAGGCAAACTTTCGTCAACAAACAAAACAAACGAATCCTTATTTTTGTTTACCGCAGTACATTGACTTCGGATCTGAATCGTTAATTGAGGATCAATTTGATGGGTGTTTTGCTGCTCAATTATTCTCAATTTGAATAAGTCTAATGGCAATTAACCGACTAGATTTTTCTTCTTCGAGCGACTTGATACGCAGGTTTGGTAGATAGCTGCATATTTGAGGCCAAACAACATCACACTAGTTCTTTGTTTCCTTTGTCTTTGTCTTTTGTTTTCTTTGTTTTCTTGATAGCACTAATGACAATTTGGCCTCAAATATTTGCATATCTACCAACTCTGTTGATACAAGAGTTCAGGTCAGACACAACACAATTTAGGCTATTGAGCTCTTCTTTTAGATTGATGTTATCATTCCTGATCGAGCGACGAGTTTTCCCCTTGTATAGGTTTGCGTTTATTAAAACGGTGTCCGAACTACCGGGACAGCAATATTTTAAATTTGCGAAATGTTCAAATATACGGCCAAATTTGTTGTTACAAGTGGCAGCCATTTCATCAATTTTTGGAAGTAGCGTTGCATGCTTGTTGCGACTCGTCTTTGACACACGAATAATTTTCTCGGTCAACGCTATCAAATTCAGTCGCTTTCTTTGCCTCACTAAACAAGCTTTCAAACGATTTTAGTAAATACTTATCTGGGTTGTCCCTCAGTATAACGGTTATAACCAGCTTCTTTGATCTTTGCCATTTTACTAAAAACTCTTCGTTGCTTCCTGTAAATAACTCTACATCTCCACTAGGAGAGGACCATCTGCCTGTTACGTCTAGAACTTCATCAAAATAGTTTCTCAGGTCCTTGAAATTCCCAACCCAGCGATAAAAATTTCCGTGAAACTATAAGAATTTAGAATACTTAACAGACATGTGTTAGGCTGTGGTTTAGGGGAGTAGGATATAGGAAACTTTGTCGACTCTTGAAAGGGTGCGTTAAGTATTCTTCCACCGCAACGTAGAAGGTCTTCTAAATAAAAACGACGAAGTTTTATGACCAGTGGTAGCCGATCAATAGTCTTTGATTTCAAGTTGACAAGTTTTGGATACACAGTAGATTGACAGCCTAGAATCCAAAGTTTGTGTGCTGCCTGCCATTCCGAAGTGGACAAAGAACCACGGTCAGCTTTCTTCCTGAGGATGTTAAGAAATCGTAACACCCATACTGTTACACGGACTTTTCTTGGAAGTGCACTGAAATTGGCCAATTTGATAATTGTTTGCCATGCCATGTTCTGTGGGTTTAGGTTGGCATCTAACGTGGTTGGTCAGGGTGGAGGTGGTTTCAGGCTGGCTTTCTCTGTTAGTCTGGAGAGTAACGGACGAGGTGTTCCACGATGGCCATTTATTTGTGCTGGTTAGCCAAACGGGACCGTGAGACCACAAGGTTGATCGTGAGACCACAAGGCTTTCGAGTACGAAATTTGCCAAAAAACTCGTACTCAAAAGCCCAACGACTACAAGTCTTGACTGATGGCGTAAGCAAACAACGCGCAAGAATGACGAATCTGTACTCGTAGTCGTACTCGTAGTCACTGCTAAAGCTCGTTAATGTCACTGGTGGTATGACTGTGCTGAAACTGGAGTGATATGAGATAAACTGACTCAAAATACATATATCAAAAAATGATGAAAACACAGTCAAATACATGTAGGAAAGCATAGAAGATAATTTAATCTATTTTATATCATTTTTCCTATTTCTATCTATTTAGTTTTACTGCAGCTGCTGAAACATCAAACTCTAGTAGCTACATTAGAATTAAAAAATATTTTTAAAAATATAATATTCATTAAATTTTCATTAGTGCACCGAGAAGAAACAATTCTTTTGAAACCTTCGACGAGACTAGAATTGGTAAAAAAAAACCAGTCTATAGAAAAGCCAATCACCTTATTATAAAACCATGCATCTGGTTTCATCAAGAATGGAGAGAACTTAATTTCATTATGCTGTATATATCTCATTCTTATAAGACGGAGTAATGTCAGAGTAATGTAAAAATATATTTAGGTAAACAAATGTGCTTGACGCGGGGGATCACGAGGTTGACCTTATTACATCATGCTAAATCTCATTACCAGAAATTCTCGAAAAGAAATAGTTCATTACGTAATCATATGAAAAAAATTGAAATCAGCCGAACATAAAATTTCTAAATTTTAATTTTGGTGATGATCATGAAATAAAACGAGTTTTGTTTCCTAACGGACGCACTTTAAATAATAACGTTAACACACATCTTTAGCCTGGCTTCGATCATTTTAAAATAAAATGATAAAATACCATAATAAAAGGATATCTTTTTGCTACACTATATCAAAAAGATTGCATCAGGAATATTTATTTTTACACAATCGAAAAACTAATGCTGTTTGGAGTTGATTTTGAAAATGATTTGCTCTAAAGCTTGCATCATTTGGACTTGTTTTAGCGACGATGTAAATTTCCCTTACCCACAAATACTGTTATGCACAGACATAGTTATCATTATAAATTATTCAAGTATGCATACTTAATGTTTACGTTATCGGATTATTCTCAAGTAGAAATTAAATTAAAAAGGAAAGCACTATTTAACATGCAGCATGCGCAGTGACATTATATAAAAGTCGGAGTTGAAAACAGTAAAAAAACTTATATAATTATCTCGTTTTACTTAATTACTTTTTGCGCCATTTTGATTGACTCAAAACCGAACTAATTGTTATCACAAGGGTATATATTATTGGGTACGAGGTTTGAAAAATTGGCAGTCCATAAACTGGTAAATAAAAGACGTTAATATTTAATATGCAGCTTGCACTTAAATAATTTATTTGCTACTAATAACATGCATATTAGTTTTTTATTACAGTTCGTCCATACAGATTCTACAAACCAACTGTTAAAAAAAGTCCTGAATATGAAATAATTTCCAATATATCTGGTAAGTGATTTTAAACATTAAAATTTATTTCCACTGATATTGTTATGCAAAATGCAGCCAAAAGTTTGTGTTAAATTGGGAGTTTGTAGGTTATAAAGCCCTTTGATAACACAAACTTAATTAAATTTCCATCGGTTGACAACAAATATACATAAGATTTCTAGACATGAAATTCAAGAGACTTGGTCAGCATGTGTAATTTTTAAACAATACAATTCTCAGACTGAAATGCCGTTTGAGATTGTTGCCAGAGATTGCCGCGCCATTACGACCCGCACGAAACCGAGCCTTTTTTAGATGAACGCATTGATTTTTCTAAGTTTTAGATAATTTCAAGCCGTTTAGCAATTTAATGTGTGAAATATAGGCCCACACAAACAAGGACGCGTTTTCAATGTTTTTCTTTTTCCAAAACCAAATAAATTTTAACCTATCATAATAATCTTGTACATTACTTAACGATAGTATCTTTTGACTGCTCTGGCGTTGATATACTCCAAAATTTGCTACTTGGATATAATTTACATGCTTTGAAAACTTACAATTCGCAGCGTAGCCAAATCGCGTCCGGTGCTAAGTTTCCTAGCGCCAGACATTACAGAAAATAAATGTTATCCGCATTGCCTCAATTCCTGATACTTGCAGGAGACGGTCACTCTGCATGTTGCTGACTTTATAAATTGCAGGGTTATATTTACTACTTTATAAATTGTACTTTATAAGTTGACAGTACCGTTGCCTCCCTCCTTCCCTGAACATAAATATGTGTTGTTTTGAACATATGTGTATGTATTAATATCGTTCTGATAAAATATGTGTATTAATATCGTTTTGATAAAAAATAAACGAGCAAGGAGAACTTATATTTCTTCTAACCAAAATTATCCGAACAAAATTGCGCATAATTGCGCGTTTAGACGCTCAGAGAATAGAGCTTCAGGCAAGGTTTGCATGCATGCTTGGCTGCAAATATCTACGAAAATTGCATTACATAAAAGGTGCCCATATGTCGCGATACATTTTACTCAAAACTGAGCCGATATTTACGGCGCCGCGTGTGAAATTTGTAAAAACATTGGTAAAAATATTCAATTTTCAACTAGAGTTTCCTTAAAGAACAAAACCCTGAATCTCGCTCAATGCCACTAAAAGTGAGAAAATGCGAAGCTCGAATGCTATCATGTATAATTACATGAGTAAAAAATGCAAATCAGTCAAACATGAAATTTTTCAATATAAATTTTGGTGATGATCATAAAACGAATTGTTTTTATCAATATGTGTGTTACGACGTATTTTTGTAAAATAATAACATTAACATACATTCTTAGCTTGGCTTCTATCATTTTAGACTAAAATTGATGATAAAATACCATAATAAAAGCACATCTTTTTGCTACACTATCACGCTGAATAGATGTTTAACATTCAGTCTAAGTTTGAAGCAAAAGATTGCATCAGGCATATTTATTTAAACCCAAGCGAAAAATGCTGTTTGCAGTTGATTTTGAAAATGACCTGTTTTAAAATTTAAATCCCTTGGACTTGTTTTAGCGACGAATTAAATTTCCCTTTCTCAACATATCTTTTATGCACAGCTGCCTCAGACTTAGCCTTTACGTTATCAGATAATGATATCGAGTAGTAAAAAACGGCCAGCTTATTCTCAAGTCGAATTTAAATTAAAGCGGAAAGCATTATTTAACATGCAGCGTGCACACTGACATTAAAAGTCAAAGTTGAGAACGGTAAAAAAACTACTTCGTTTAATTGAATTACATTTTGCACTGTTTAAATTACCGAAAACCGAACTATATAGTTAGCTATTATCGAAAAAATGCCAGATTAAGATACTTCAAACTCGGCTTACCACGTGCACAATCATCGAGTGACAAACTTTTACAGTTAACGTCAAAATTAAAGATGATGTAAAGTCGGTTTTGCGCATATATTCCGCGCATAACAATGTTTCTTTACGTTGGTTATACAATCTTTACATGACCTATGGGTCGTTTTAATTTTCATATTTTCTTCTCGTTCTCGCTCGACCGGCTGTGATGAATATGCTTATTTTAGATTATATTTTGAAGAAAATATTATTATATTTTGAAGAAAATATAAAGCGAAGCTTATAAATAAGCCGTTATTTAAAACTTTATATATTTGTAATTGTAGGACAAGCGAGAAAGTAGCGCCTGTAGCAACGAAAAATAACCAATCAGTTCCTCATTCAACAAATAAATTCTTGAAGCACTCCTTTCAGCATAATGTTGCTTTTTCCTCGCAGCTTTATCTTCGTTCGAGCCTCTTCGCCTTGCGACATAAAATAAAATAATTGTGCCCCCGAACTGTCCGTTTGTACAACACCCTAATATCGCATTCATTAACATTCTAAAAGTTGATCCCTCACTAATGGAATGTGTTGCTCCGCAGAATATATGCGCAGAACGGACTATACATTATCTTTAATAATGTATTCACAGTACATACCACAGCTACCATAGCCAACAGGTGAGCATTTTGTTCGCGCTGACCGAACATTGCGGGCTTATTTCTTCTTCAATTCGCATTTTGGCTTCGAAGAACTAAAAATACAGACTTTGGTGCAATATTTTTGCTATTTACTCTAAAGCATGTTCATTAAAAATTCGCTACTGTTGTTGAGAAAGAAAAGCGGTTTACGATAAACTAAAATGCGTCAAAATCCATTACGAAATGGAATGTATTTTTGCTGGCGAAAAATGAAATAATTGCATCTCGACACCAAATACAGGATTTTTGCCACAGCTACAGAGCAAGTTGGATTCAAGCTGATGTCAAAAATGTAAGTCACATTAATTTTGTTCTTCATAGATCAAGGTCAGTAAAATGTCAGTAAAATGTCTCAGAAGTGGTTCTAAAGCTCAATCTTGCGGATGACACAGTTGTCAATATACCTCTACAGGCTCTGCTAACGAATTTTATTGCAAATCGACCCATCTTCATTGAAGTATAGCTCGAAAATTAGGGTATCCTCACACCCTGAAATTAGGCCTAAATCAAAGTTTTATCTATAGTCTTTTTATTAGTATATAAGAATCAATATAGGAAAAATGCGCCAAAGTGGTAAATTGGCATTGCATGTATGTGTCCACTATTTTTGACATGTTTTGTTTTGTATTTTGAAAAGGTCACCAGGAAGGAAAATAAAGGATGAACAATACGGGTGAGCCTTTAAATTATAAGAAGAGGAGTATGTAAATTATAGAATGTTGAAAAAAACTTGGTCCATTAGTAATGTTTTGGATTCTACTCAATATAAATGCAACAATAACTTAAATATGCTATATGTGAGACCTCATAGAATCCAAAACATTACTAATGCATGGACCAAGTTTTTTCCAACATTCTATAATTTACATACTCCTCTTCTTATAATTTAAAGGCTCACCAGTATTGTTCGAGCTTTATTTTCCTTCCTGGTGACCTTTTCAAAATACCAAACAAAACATGTCAAAAATAGTGGACACATGCAATGCCAATTTTACCCCTTTGGCGCATTTTTCCTATGTTGAATCTTAATACTAATAAAAAGCCTATAGATAAAACTTTGATTTAGGCCTAATTTCAGGGTGTGAAGATACCCTAATTTTTGAGCTCTACTTCAATGAAGATGGATCGATTTGCAATTAAATTCGTTAGTAGAGGTATATTGAGTCTTTTTCACAACTGTGTCATCCGCAAGATTGAGCTTTAGAACCACTTCTGAGACATTTCACTGACCTTTTAATTTATGAAGAACAAATGTGACTTACTTTTTGACATCAGCTTGAATCCAACTAGCTCTGTAGCGGTGGCAAAAATCCTCAGTGTATTTGGTGTCGAAATGCAATTATTTAATTTTTCGCCAGCAAAAATACATTCCATTTCGTAAAGGATTTCCACGCATTTTAGTTTATCGTAAACCGCTTTTCTTTCTCAACAACAGTAGCGAATTTTTAATGAACATGCTTTAGAGTAAATAGCAAAAATATTGCACCAAAGTCTGTATTTTTAGTTCTTCGAAGCCAAAATGCGAATTGAAGAAGAAATAAGCCCGCAATTTTCGGTCAGCGCGAACAAAATGCTCACCTGTTACCACAGCCTAGTCCCTAGGCCTCTTATGAGGTCATGATACACGCGGCAAGACGGGAACTGAGAGGCCTAGAACAAAAATTAATATGTTTTGTATTTTCGCTCACTGAGTAGTTGAGGATCAAAGAGAAATGTTATTTACAACAAACTAGACAAATAACGAGTATCTTGGAGTAAGTACGATTTGTCCTGCTATGCTAATATTTTGGTGTTCATTGACTGTGAAAACAATAAATTTCTAAAGACATGAATAATTATAATAACTCGAAATTTAAATAGCGAGACAAAATCGTCAGGCTGGCCACGCCACTGTCTGGAGACTTGTTTTCTGGCCATTCCGATGTTAAAATGAAAATTAACATATCTACATAAAATTATGTAAATAAAACTTCAACTCGTCTCCACACCATGTGGAAACATGAAACTGATGAACCACGTGAACAATCATCGAGCAGGCAAAAATTTAATACGTATACAATACAAACAATGGGAGACAGGTTCTGAGTACGAGGTTTGAAGAATTAACTGACTGATTTAAGTATATGTCGCCCCAAACAGACTTGCAACGTAAAATAATAGTGACAAAAATGAGACAAAGCCCTGGTATATTTCAACTGACGCTAGAGTAATGAATAAAAAATCCTCTGCATGTTTGGGACTACAATGAGAGTAAATTCACTTATTGCTCGGGGGAAACTAAATAATTCTTCAATAAGGGTCGTCAATATTCAATATGCAGCTAGCACGTACGTGCACTTAAATAATTTATTTGCTGGTGTTAAAATGTATATTAGCTATACTGTTCCCCCGGTTTCTACGCAAACAAGCTGTTTCAAATAATGTCCTCAAATAGTTTCCAATATATCTTGATCACAGTTGTGGTAAGTCATTTTAAACATTAAAATATATTTCTAATGAATTGTTTCGTGAAATGCAGCAAAAAGTTGGGGTATTTTAGAACTTTGTAGGTTATATAGATGCCCTTTGAAAACAGGGACTTAGTTAAATTTTCCTGATTTAAAAAGAAGGTAGTTAAACGTCAAAAAGGGCTGGCAGTATGATGTTATTTTAGATGATGCTTTCAATATTTTTTGCTTAGGACTATTCTTCCAAACAGGGGAGTAACTAGAACGATAATTCGGGGGGGGGGGAATATTCATATATTCAGTTCTGCCCGACGGATTTCTATTGTAAGCTATTGCAATTACAAAAGAAATCCGTTGTGCGGAACTGGATATGAATATTCATCCCCCCCCCAATTATCGTTCAAGTTACGCCACTGCTTCCGAAACGGTTAAGGTTTAAGTGTGTGAAATATCAATGTACTTTTATCTTGTAAACTCGTTCACATGCAAGCAAAACTTAGTTGCCTAGCGCCGTGAGAGAGAAATAAACAAACTGTATCAATTAAACCAAAATACCTGCATGCTTATGCAAATGAATGTCAATCACAAGTTTGCCTCAATCATTAATCTCCATCTTGGCTAAACTGTAACATTTTAATATCGTTATAATATATGTTTAAATATTCTCCCCATGCACGAGGCAAAAATCTATCGCTCTGCTGCATGGTCTTATCCGCATTGCCTCGATTCCTGCTTCTCGCAGGAGTCGATCACAGGTCACAGGCATGAGACTATTGCATCGTCGTTTAAATATTTTGGAATATTCTCCCCACGGATAATCTGAATATTGCGAAGTGCTGGGTTTTAATAATTTTGCCAAATTAAAATTCTGCTCCATGCAATTTAAGCAGTAAATATATTTTTCTATAAATACGGTTCATTCCCGGACATATCTTATCTAAACTGAATAACCTTGGCTTCATTTCTATTTTCATTGCAGGAATATCCCTTCTTTGAGCAACTGAAAGTTGAAGAACCATGCAATTAAAACATTTCTTATTCTTATATGTACCATGTATATCACTTGCAGTCTTAAATGCCTTATCAAGTGAAACCAGTGCAAACATTTGCTACAATTCCACTCTTGAAGGTAAAGTAAAACATAATATATATCAACAGATTGTCAGAATCCTGGAAAGTCACGTCATTTAAATAAACAGACCTCTCTCTACAGCTATAGCTTCTGAGTGAAAGAAATTAACAATGAAAATTGATTCATCACATTTTTGTTAATCATCGAAATATAAAGCTATTCGTGCATGAAAATGTGGGACAGATCAATTCTTTGCACATATCATCCACGTATCTGATGTGTGGACAAAATCAAATGAAGGAAATATCTGAAAATATATCACAATGTCACAACCCGCTGTGCACTGCACGAGAATATTATGTCAGTGAAATCGAGAATTAGCACTTTCTATATCCGTTGACTACCCGTCTATCCTTCCATTTGCACTGTGCTCAATTTATTAGCTATCAACGCACTTGATTATTGTTCTTTTTACGAAAAACTTCACGAAAGATTTTAAGTTAAAAAATATGAAAATAACACAAACCAGACGAAATGTAAAGTGAAGATTGTCCTTTCATTAAAAATTTCAAAGTTACTTATCTACCTACATACCTACCCAGAGACCTACTCACCTACCTACCAACCCAATCACTCACCTAGCCAAACACCCACCCACCCACCTAGGCACCTACCTTGGCAATGTAAAGGTTTTCCTAAAAAAAAATTTTACGCTTTAGGGTTCAGACTGAATGTAACAGTTATTAAGACAAAAGTCGTTTCTGAATGGATAGATTGCGTAATGGAGTGTGCAACTGAGATATGTTGTAGATCTATCAACTTCAAGAAGAAATTGGCTGCAAAAAATGATTCAAATTGTAAAATGTTACACAACGTGGTTTACAATACATCTGAGAGATTACTGGAGAAGAATTCCTCCTATGATTATGTTTATCTTCTTAACCCACAAAAGGTATGATTTAGTGGAATAGCTGTTATCGCTGTTGCGTTATTTGAGATATATTAACTACATTTCACCGGAAAACATTTATAAACATAAACCTGACTGTTTTGGCAAGGATCAATATTCTTCATTACAGGGTTACAATAAAAGCTGTTTAAAAAACACTTCCCATGAAAATGAAAGAGGTATGTGTTGATGATAGGAAGAATTAAAACAACTCAAAAACAGGAATTGGTAGTAAACCTTTGGTCAGTTTAATGCCTACAAAAAAGAAATGTCCTTCATTCATTTTCTAATTCTTATAAAGTAATTTCAATGGAAAACATAGTCAGGGAAAGTTTGCCAAAAGTGTTTAACATATTCTTATTCTGAATAATTTAGTTAAAGACTGCGCTGATATATACAATAAAGGAATAAAACAAAGTGGTATTTATGAAATTGATCCAGATGGAAAGGGAAGTTTCAAAGTGTTTTGTGATATGACAACATCAGGTAGAGGATGGACTGTGTTTCAACGTCGTCTTGATGGAAGTGTTGACTTCTACCGAGGATGGGAAGATTACAAACACGGTTTTGGTAACTTGAGCGGAGAATATTGGCTTGGTCTTGACAAAATACACATGATGACAAATATTTCACAAAATGAACTTCGTATCGACATGGAAAATACATCTGGGAACACCAGATACGCTCATTATGATTCATTTAAAGTCAGCAGCGAAAATGTGAAGTACAAGTTGAATGTTGGAGGGTATCATGGTAAGCATTATGCATTAAGCTGAGTCATATATTTCAATGAAATTATAGGAGAGTCCAGGTCTCTTTACAATCAACTTTCCAGTGAACTAAAAATCCACGTTATTAAATAAAATCCAGGAAAATTATCAATGACTTATCGATATATATAGTTAAAAAGCAACTTTGGTATTTCGCAGATTAACCCCACAAATTTAAAATATCTCCATTTTGAAAATTAAAAAACTTTTAAAATTATAACAAAACAATATCAAAACAAAAGTCTCAGGATATTCGATGATAAGCAGTCGGGGGCTCCTCTGAAAGAAACTCCGGCAAAATCCGGCGGTAAAATGTGAAAGACCGAAAGAATGAAATATTATTTAAACGAGACATACAAGAGAATACTATGAAATTCGAGGTGATCTGTATGTAGTGCATATAATGGAACATAACGCTCCATAGAATTGTTCCCAAATATAAACCCAATATTCTCAGTGTTGTCGTCGTTTTTGCAGTCTTACATTTTTAAATTACCTGCTACTTATGAGAGAGATTTGATCAAACGACAAAATCTGTATTATTTTTTAACTTTGATTAACAATATTATATCCTACGACAACCATCATCAAGCCCTCGCTTTCTGCTTGGATTTCATCAAGATTACTGTTCAGTTTCCGTACAGCATCCTTTACAATGACGAGATGAAACAGTGAACATGATAATATATTTGCGAAATCACAACTTCAAATCACAAATTCACTGATATTGAGGTCATAGCGCTGTTAAGTACCCTGGCAACAGAAATGACTCTATATTAATTTATATTTATTAATGTTGCAATTTCTTTTCGACCAGCGGGACAGAATAAATGTGGAAGAATGGGTTTTCGGTTGAAGTACCTCCGTAATAGTTATTTACAAGCTAAGAATTGTTTCACCATTGACCTTACTAAATTCATCCAAAATAAGCCTGAGGTTGTCATCCACTTCCTAGCCTGAATGTTTTAGGGGCGATAATCTCTTAGAAATTAAGGCTAGTTTCCACTCAGGAAAATTCTCCTTTGGATCGGACAGGACAGGAAAGCTTCCTTTGTATAAACGCCGCCTGAGAACTCACCGAAAAAGGAAATTTTTTCTACCCGTTCCGATCTAAAAGAGATTTTTCTTGAGTGGAAACTAGCCTTTAGGGGTGATAATCCCCTATAATTAAAGGTGGGGTTACAATCCCCTGTGAGGAAGGGGTAATAATCCCCTGTAATTAATGTAAAGAATTTATTGACAAACGGGGATTGCCAGGTGCTTCGCCGCTCTTTCCATCGTCTTCGTTGACTCATCAAGTGATACGCAGTAATGGCTTCCATCAATTTTCCTCCGAGGACATTTCCCCATGTAGTTTCTTTTCACCGTCAAGTTGTAATTGCACTCTTACTCATAGCCAATAAAAATCACTCTAGTATATACAACTAGCCAAGCACCATTTAGGATAGAAAATGTGAATTTTAAATTATGCTAAATATTAATAATTCCGAATTGTCCTATTTACCAAGCATTGTTGTGATAAGATTTGACAATCATATTGAAGTTCAATAAAATTAATTGTATTACAGAAGATATAAAATTAATAAGTATCGAATTAGGTAACAAAAAACGAATAAGGAATACGTTATTATTGCCAAAAATCATACTCGTGTTTAACAAATCGCAAGTTGTAAAACACACGTAGGATTTTGGCATTAATTGCACTCCTATTCGTTCTATTACATTATTAATTTTAAAGACGTCATATTCTTTTACATTAAGGTACAGCAGGGGACTCGTTGAAAAGACATAACGGTATGGATTTCACCACCAAGGATGCTGACAACGATATTTGGGGTCGTAACTGTGCAGCGAGATTCAAAGGAGCCTGGTGGTATAGTGATTGTCATCATTCCAATTTGAATGGTTTGTATCATTATGGAAATCACACATCGCGCGCTGATGGAGTAAACTGGTTCCATTGGAAAGGTCATTATTATTCTCTGAAATCAACATCGATGAAGATACGACCACGTGAATTTGGAGAGAAGAAATAAAGTCGTTGAAAGTTAAAAGACTAAAAAGAAATAAGGTTTACTTCATAAAGAGTGTAGTGCTTTTTAAAAAAGTAGTTTTTATAAATATTTAAAATAGTGTAATATGTGACCGTATATTTACAAAGAGGAGATTCTTCTCCTACGCCTAGCCTAATCCAAAGTGAAAATTTAGAAAAATGAACCAACTATATAAAAGTGTATTTTAAGTAGAGTTCAGTAGAATCGGCAAGCTATCTCTTCGTTTGTCACATTACATATAAAATAGAATAGCTACGAAAGAAATAATAACTTGTGTAATTTGAGTTTTAAAAAATAATAGTTTCGCCGTGCTGGGGTAGATGAGCTTGGCAGACTTTAAGACCGCGATGTAAAGACGTGCACGCAATACGAGAAAGATGGTGAATTGCAAACAGGAATAATTTATGAAAATTAATGTATGAGGCAAACAGCTTTCAACATTTCAGTATGAGCACTATTCGGACAAAACAAAGACTTATTCTGTCGAAAGTTGTCCCAGAAGACTCTGATTCTATGCATTGCTTTGTTGGCGACTAGAAATGCGGTAATTTGCTTTTTTTTGGCCTAAATATTTGTTCTTTTAATCATAATAAAGATCTTATAATAAAGATCTTTCTGTTTGGAATGAAGAAATTTGATGCGTTTGTTAATGAAGAAAGTTTTCCCATATCTTCCGCACCAGATAATAGTGAAATATGTAATAATATAACGTGTATAGGTCTGGAATTTCTTCATTCTTGTTTGACAATAACTTTGGAAAAGCCTAGCGAGGTGGGTTAAATTTAGCCCATGATTTATTCCTGGGCTACCGCGAACCCCGTTTTGAAAAACACAATAAATTAACCTGGAGGTAAAATTCATCTTAAGCCATTTTAGGTCAGGGATAGCCTGCTTTTGAGCAACCAGCCTCTGATGGTGAAAAGAGGTTTTGGTTATCCTGGTTAATTAGGTGTATAAAGTAGCATCAAGTTCATTTTTGTTAAAACATTGTGTGGTAAATTATTCACCATTGCTTCTGAGAATGTCATAATCATCTTACCCTTGTAATTTATCCGAAAATCATGCAATATACGTCACGTCACGGAGTAGCCGGTGTGCTGCAAAAACGCAAAGCAAGTTAGAGGAAATCTCGGAAATCTCATGAATATTGATTTCCTTTGAAGCTTAAATTCAACTATACAAAGAACTGTCTTCGGCTGCAAAAAACTGTCTCTGATCGTCTGATCGGTCATATCAGTCAACTGAAACACGTCTTCAGATCGATCACGCCAAATCTTCACGATTTTTGTCTGCATGAAAACTACCAAATCAACCAATCAAGTTGATCACAAAACACCTCCAATCAACTCTAGAACGATCAGACTACTGAGCTCTACCATTATTCCTGGAGGATTCACTCTCGATCAAAACGTAAAGGAAAAGACATGGCGTATCTTGGCGTGTACTTGTTGTTCTTGTTATTATTATTTTATACATATTTTACAAATTTTTCTCCTAACTAGGGATCCAAGGATAGTGCAAAGTTTCCATGCCCAAACATTTTGATTTATGCTAGTAAAATATAATGAACTAAGTTAAACATTATTGAAAAGGAAGTTACTCAAAGTACTCAAGTTAGTGAAGTTACGTTAGTCGCAGCATAGGCAGCCCAATGGCGAATGGTTTTATTTGATTTAAAAATGTACACTTTCATGAAATTCACACATATTTCATTTATTTACATGCTAATATACGTACTTAAATCCTGTTACTTACAACAGGCGACTTGCTTGTCTGACAAGGCAATGTAGGTAGCTATTATATAGCATAATAATCCTAAGGTAGGCAACTTCAATCACAATATTCACATGGACACATGCAAACAATCCGAAAATACGTCAATTTATCCCTAAAACTAAGCTAAAATAACAAAAGAAATGAAATCTACGATGATTTTACTATACACTGACTATATTTTAATATTTAAAATAAGTTATGGAAGCGAGAAAAGTGCGAAAAGTTTTTTGACTTTTGAGAACGTTTGAAAATGACGAATTTGCTATCTGATTGGCTGTCAAAACAGCGAGAACAAAAACAGGCAATGAGATTACAATTTACAAACTCGTCATTTTCAAACGTTCTCAAAAGTCAACAGCGCGGGTCCAGCATCGGCCCATTCAAAAATTGAGCATAAAATATCAAAATCTTTTCGCATTTTTCTCGCTTCCATAACTTATTTTAAATATTAAAATATAGCCAGTGTATAATAAAATTATCGTAGATTTCATTTCTCTTGTTATTTTAGCGGAGTTTTAGGGATAAATTGAAGTATTTTCGGATTGTTTGCATGTGTCAATGTGAATATCCAATATTGCGATTGAAGTTGCCTACCTTAGCCTAGGATATATTTTAGTTGCTCATGTAAACCGGGCACAATTTTCTAAGTTTAGTCTTTTTTCTTCGTAAAACAACTGTGACTACATTCACTACATTTATATGATGGCAACAATTTATCCGTCATTTCATAAGAACAGCCAAAATAGTTGCGTTGTATAAATAATGTAAATAAACCGCATTGCATAATATATCTATGATGTGGAACGTCGACACGTAAATCGATACAAAACAATATACTTATAATCAATACTGTACACCGCCAAAATGATTTAATTACTGCACAAAATGTCGGTTTTGTATAGTATCATTTTATGTACTGTATGCAGAATATCAGGACTGACTTGCTATTGACATAATATATATTCGTGTAAGAGATCTATCAAATTATCAATACATAAACAACACAGCGTCATTTCTTCCTATCCTCTTAGCTCTATTTATGGAATAAACCTTCCAAATTATATTTGTGTTGAATTGAATGCTCGTAATTCATAACATAAGTTGATAAATTGCGTAGATTCTTAAAGAATTGCTCGATTTTTACGCCCGAATGTTTTGAAGCAATGCTCGTCGCTCCTCGTTTCTTTACATCGTGAATAATGTTCAAGTCTCGACGGCACATGCGCAGTTGCGACGTATAAGAAAAAACGGGTGTTCCGGGGGCAAATCTCTTTAAAACAAAACCCAAACCACGGAAAAACAATGCTTCAACATTTACAGTAACGGTCAAAATTCCTCAATATTTTGGTGAACTTAGCAAAAGGGATAGTGCATTAATAAATAAAGCAAGTTAAACTGATTTTAAAATTTTAAATTACAGATCAAATAAGGGCTGTTAATATTTAATATGCAGCTTTCACTTAAATAATTTATTGCTGTTGAGTGCTACTAACATGCATATTCGTATTTTATTACTGTTCGTCCATGCAGTTTCTACGAAAACCAGCTGTTCAAATAAAGTCCTGAAACGATTTCCAATAATATACTTTAATCAGAGTTGTGGTAAGTCATTTTAAACATTAAATTTATTTCCATTGACATTGTTTTGCAAAATGCAGTCAAAATTTTGTGTTGAATAGAGAGTATGTAGGTTATAGATGCCCTTTGATAAAAGAAACTTCTTTAAATTTCCCTCAGTTTACAAAGAACGTAGTTAAACTTAGTTAAACTGGTATGCTATTCAGTATATCATATATCAACACAATCATATACATCGGCTTTCTCGACATGCAATTCAAGAGATTCAGTCTGCATGTATACAACTAAAAAACGCAATTCAGGGATTGTTGTCAGGGATTGTCATGCAATTATACGACCCACACGAAACCGAGCTTATTTCAGATGAAACATGCACTGAATATTTTTCTTACTTTTAGCTTATTTCAAGCCGTTTAGAAATTAAGTGTATGAAATAAGAGTTCTAAGTTGCCTAGCGCCAGGTATTAGAGAAAAATAAACAAACTGTACCAATTAAGCAAACTACGTGCTTACACAAATGAATGTCAGTCACGAATGTATCTCAATCGTGTGGCACAATTAGTCTCTATCTTGGCTAAACTGACATTAGAAAAATATCCGCTATTGCAGTATCGTTTATATAATAAAGGTTTAAATATTCTCCACACCAGAAAAAAATCTCTGGCTCTCCTATAAATTATAGTCTTATCCCCATTGCCTCAATTCCTGCTGCACTTTGAAACAGCTAAGAAGGTCAGCTTGAAAGGCCTAGACCAAAATGTTTTATTTTGGTTAAAGTGGGGAATTTTTGTCGACGATCTACGACGTGGTTAGCTGATTTTGTTCAACGTCCCTAGTCAAATATTTTGCTTGAAATAAGCTACGGGAAGTTAATTATACTGTAAGGACTTTGAAATATTTATACAAACGTTGCAATGTCAAAGGAACGAGATTGGATAATACATAAGATGAAAGACAGGCCTTGGTTACGAGGTTTGAAAAATTGGCAGTCCATTAACTGCCAAATAAGGGCTGTTAATATCTAATAATATGCAGCTTTCACTTGAATAATTTATTGTTGTTGAGTGCTACTAACATGCATATTCGTATTTTATTACTGTTCGTGCATGCAGTTTCTCCCCAAAGCAGCTGTTCAAATAAAGTCCTGAAATGATTTCCAATAATATATCTTAATCAGAGTTGTGATAAGTCATTTTAAACATCAACATTTATTTCCATTGACATTGTTTTGCAAAATGCAGTCAAAATGTTCTGTTAATTTTGGAGTTTGTAGGTTATAGATGCCCTTAGATAACAGAAACAATTTCCCTCAATTGTCAAAGAACGTATAGTTAAACTTAGAAAAGAGCAATTCTGAGACTGAAATTAAATGAAATTAGTCGGCTCTTTAAGATTGTTACAAGCGATTGCCGTGCAATTACGACCGACACGAAATGCTAAAGTCACGATTTTATCTTGGCTGCATGGATTTTATCTGCATTGCCTCAATTCCTGCTGCTTACAGGAGACGGTTACTCTGCATGCAGCTGACTTTGTAGGAGTTGACAGCAACGGTTGCCTTCCTCCTTTCTTGAACATAAATATGTGTTGTTTTAATCATATGTGTTAATAAAATTAATATCGTTCTTTTTGACGAGCGAGCTAGGAGAACCATTTCTTGTAACCGAAATTATCCGAACAAAATCGCGCATGATCCACGGTGTTTAGATGCTCAGAGAATAGGGCTTTAGGAAAAGTTTGCATGCATACGTCGCTGCCAATATCTACGAAAATTGCATTACATAAAAACAAACAAATTACAAAGAATATAAAATGAAATTCAAGATATATTAAAAAACGAAGACTGTCAAAAGATGAGTGTCAATTTTTACGCGGTTAGCAAATTTCCCGCGATCCATTTTATATTAAAAACTGTGCCTGCATGATGTGTGTATGAGTTTATTTCTTGGCGCGACGTTGTACTAAATTTCATCTGATAAAACTTTTAACTACAGTTCCTCCGAAGAACAACCCCCCTAAACCTGGACTTCACGCCACTAAAACACGCAAAGTATATTGTAAAACTCGAATGCCATGCATCATGTATAATTACATGAATAAAATGCAAATCAGTCAAACATGAAAACTCTAAATTTAAATTTTGGTGATGATCATAAAATAAAACAAGTTTTATTTTCATCAATATGTGTGCTACGACGTACTTTTGATATAAAAACATGAACACACATCTTTAGCTTCGCTTCTATCATTTTAAAATAAAATGATAAAAATACCGTAATAATAATGACATATTTTTATACATTGTATACAATGCCATTAAAAGTCAGAGTTGAAAACAGTAAAATAATTTATATAACTATTTAGTTTTATTTAATTACGTTTTTACTCAATTTTAATTAACTAAGAACTGCCAATGAAGGATATTTCAAACCCTTTGCTGTCTAACAACAGGGGTCGCTTGTATGATGCAAGCCCGTTTAGCTTTAACGGTGGATAAGTCAAAATTAAATAACGCTCTTACATCTCTCTTCATTGAGTGAACTTGAATATTATGCACTAAATATGTAGTTGTAAACTACTTCTTTGTATAAAGGTTAAAAACATTTAGTTTGATTGTTGAGTAAAACGATAGACTTGCTTTCTATTTTGAACTTAACCACCGTTTAAGCTAAACGAGCTAGATACAACCGGCCCCAGTAAAGTTAAAATTAAAGGCATCTGCTTTCTTACTTATAATCGAATTTTCAAATTCTTTTGAAACACAGCTTCAAGATCCTTTTGTAATCGTCTCTTTCCCTGGTAAATATCGTCCTATAGTATCGAGTCGAAAAAAGATAATTTAAGCGATGTTTGTTACAGCAATCTTGAGCTTGCTGTTGCTTGATATTGGAAACATTTCTGCAAACCAATGTTCCCAGAAGAGGTACGACACAATCATAAAAGGTGGGTCGTCTTTCCATATTTTTTTTGTCAAAAATGTTGTCGTGTCGCGAAATTTCGTTTAATACTTCATATAATTATGATGAAAACAATCTGTTATCCCAAGCTTGGATATTTTGTATTCGAAAATCAGTGTTGTTCGAATTTCGTTAAAATACTTAGGTGGTCCATCTTTACCTGATGACGAGATAATATCAAGACACAATATCACGTCTTCGTTTGTCATGTTCGAGTGTCACAATCACTGCAATAACAAACTCGAATGTGTTGGATTCAACTACAGAACAACAAAAGGTGTTGAAAATTGCCAACTGACAAACGTTACTAGAAAGAAAGAAGAAACGAAAACGGGAGATTGGATGTTGATGCAAGATGTTGAAGCGGTAAGATTGACAAATTCTAGGCATAAATTGGATGCCGTAATCATGAAATAAATAATTATGTAATTCCATAAAACAAGACAAAGTAACTGATTTTTATCGCTTAGCGATGCTGCAAAATACAATCAAATTTCAAATATTAATTGAGAGTTTCTTCATACCGTTGATTAACACAATATAAATTATAGAAATATACTGAGGGGCGTGTAGAAGCCCAGGGGTGTAGGAAGCACTCGAAGATTGGGGCATCGCTTCCTTGCGCACTTTCGGTTAAAAAAAGGGCAGCTAAAAATATGTGTAGGGATGGTTTGACTGCCAAAGCTGCAAGGTCACCACTAGTGTGAGTTATATTTGATGTACAAAAAGATTTCGGCATGTGTAAGTGGGCATACGTAGGAAACAAAAAGGGTACCTTCATTATCAAAATCGTTTTTGAAGCTACTTTAGCTTTTACAAAAAGCATTCAAAAAAAAAAAAAGCACTTTTGATCCCTTGAAAAATTTTGAGGGGACACCTGCCCCGAGTTTCCACGCCCCTGAAATTGGCATTAGACCTGTGTACCAATGACACGATCGAAGCAACGGGGAAGCTTGTGTAAATAAATTGTTAAAATGAGGTGACTGCTTTATTTATTTATTTATTTTTCATAGATAAAAATCAGCCTTTATAATTAACTATACCAAATCTATGCTCATTCATGCAACATCCGTTCGCTTATAAGATGGCATGTGAAATAGAATAAATGAGTCATAACATATGTTTGCTAACAATGGATACATTGACGTCCTTAGAAATAAGTTAAACCTCAGATCTTTCGCTGAGAAGTGCATAATGGAAATTTTCTTTAGAAAGACTAAATTAAAGCTTTGTGGTCAAATTTTGTAGCTATCTAAAGGCAGTGAAAAATTACTGTCAGAGATCAAAATAAATACGAAATGTGTCAAACTAATAAGCACTTGCTACTAACCATTGCTCTTTAAATTCTAACGAAGATATCGTAATAAGCGAATTCAGTATAGTGTAAACTATACATGCACGGTTAATAATAGTGATATAGTTAATAATAGTGATAGTTAATAATAGTGATAGTTAATAATAGTGATAGTGCATAATGATATGCAGGCACAAAGGTGATAGCAGCAAATAAACAGTGTTGCCGACAATATGCTTGATATTTATTCCACAAAACATTACCCGAGAAAAACTTAGTTATTATTTAACTGCATGTAAGAAAATATTTTCTATATCTGCGATTTTCGGATCACTCTGTATTCATGCCAAAATTCAATCTCTTTCTCTCGAAATAAGGTATCTCAAGTTTGTTTTGTCTATACCGACAAAATGTGCGTTGAAGATTTATAGAAATTAGAAATATATAGACGTAATTTTAACAGTACTTGGGTGAAATCGGTGTAATTAATTATTAACGAAATGATACATTGATTAATGTAAAGATTAAAATCAATATTTTGCTCATTTAGCATTGCTTAATTTTGTATAGACAAAGAATGAGGTTGAAAAACAAAAGGTTACCAGGATATCAGGTATGACTCCAATTTAGAATTACCACAAATAACATAATTATAAATTTCTGGTCAGTCTAGTGATTTCATATTCCGAACAAAAACTACAAGAAATTTAATATTTAAATTTTTTAAGTATTATGCAATGAGAAATATTTTAAATCATCTGTCAATATGCGCCACATTAATGCAATACGTACGAATGAACCTCAGGGCCTCTTCTATTAATTTTTATTGGGGTAGGGGGCATGAAAGAAGCGAACCATTCCCTAGCGCAGCGAATTAGAAATCTTAATTGCGCTTAAAGGAGTTGCTTCCAAAATTTTTAAAATCAATAATCTGATTTAAAATAATTAACAGCAAGCATCTTCAAGTCTGTATGTTAAGATCTTCCGGCAGGAATCGAACCTACGCCATTTTAACGCCGGTACAATGCTCTTGCCACAAAGCTAGAGAGATTGTCAAGAGCGATTGCCAAGAGCGATTGTCAAGAGCGAGCGTAGTTGGTGTGAATTTAGCATCGTAATTCCTGGGAATAGTGAGAATAAATCACTGAATTAAGACTTTGTGGCACTTCACGCAATGAATGAAGGAGAATCTTTCTGAGTCCTAATTATGAGTGGAAATGTTACAAACTCAAATGTAGGATGGCACCGGGATCACAAAGGCGTAGGTTTGATTTCTGCCAGAGGATCGATAGATACATTTTTATCAACTCAATGTGAGTTGTGATTTCTTCTGAAAATTAAAAGTCTTAAACCCTTTTCGCTAAATTTATCCTTCATCGAGTAAAGTGCCATCTCTCCGGGGTGTAGGAAGCATATATTTTTTTCTTCGAGGGGCACAAGCTTCCAAAAAACTTTTCAGTTAATAAAAAGGGCATCTAAAATGCGCATATGCATGGTTGGTTTGGTTGTTTTAGTTTGTTTTTTCCTGAACCATTTGAAGTTTAGAATAAAGACATAAACTGCTTTGTCTTTTACACCGGTGGGGAAGGTTCTTGTTCACTTGGTGAAGAAGGAAAACTTAAAAATAATTGGCCACTACATAAGCTTCCACAATCTACCAAAACGGCACTTTGTCAACACAGAAAAGGCCACGAATGCATATTGCTTCCTTTTTGCCGGTGAAACAGAAAATAATCTGATAGCCAAAACACAATACACGAAAAGTTGAAAGCTATTGTATTGCATTCCCGTGGGAGAGATGCAAGCGATTATTAGCCCGTTTACAAGAAATATTTATTTTATTGGACCCGTAAGTTGTAATATCATGATATAAAACCATGTAAAACCATGATATTTTTTAGGTCTCCACTGCGCTGATTTGTATGAAAACGGAAATAACCAAAGTGGAATTTATGAAATTAATCCGGATGGAAAGGGAAGTTTCAAAGTGTTTTGTGATATGACAACATCAGGTGGAGGATGGATTGTATTTCAACGTCGTCTTGATGGAAGTGTTGCCTTCTACCGAGGATGGCAAGATTACAAACAAGGTTTTGGTAACTTGAGCGGAGAATATTGGCTTGGTCTTGACAAAATACACATGATGACAAATATTTCACACAATGAACTTCGTATCGACTTGGAAGATACATCTGGAAACACCAGTTACGCTCATTATAATTCATTTAAAGTCAGCAGCGAAAGTGAGAAATACAAGTTGAATGTTGGAGGTTATCATGGTAAGCATTTTACATTAAACTGAGTCATATCTCAATCAAATTATAAGAAAGTAAAGCTCTTTTTACAATCAACTTTAAAATTATAATTGAGTCAACTCTATAAAGAGTTGAGACAATATGTAGAGAGAAACGCAAAATATTGCCATTTTGAGAATTTGCAAAATTTTTAAAAATCTCAGAAACATTTGATACGTGTAATCGAGATCTTCTTTAAATTAAACGGTAAAATCGGTAAAATGTAAAAAAAGCAAAGAAGTGTTATTCAAACGAGTATTTAGCCACAGGAGAATACTATGAAATTCGAGGTGATATGTAGTCCATAAAATGAAACATCGGAATCCTTAGAATTGTTTTCAAAATCTTATACCTCATTATATTGATACCATTTATAATAATTATTACAACAACTCTTTACCGGCATCCTTTACAAAGACGGAATGGGACAGTAAACATGACATGACATTTGCGAGGATATAGTATTTGTCGTGTAAATAGCAAAGCGCTGTTAAATACCCTGGTAATATTTTGTTATGTTTGAAGAAAATTCAATTGGTCTTTCAAACGGTAGTTTATCCCCATGTCCCTTCCGTCGATAAGTTTTGCATCCGTATCCGCATTTTAACCTTGTCGTGCTGACGTAGCATAATTAGGTATACCTAGATGGATAGATAGAATTTTATATATACAGGGTTAAAAACTCCTTCAGTGTAGAGGTACTGTTATCCATGGAGGCCCTGTAACAAAAATTAACTTATGAATACATACATAATAATTTACCCTCAGTAACTATAACTACATAGATGAGAAAGAGCAAATACACACAAGGAATACATCACTTAATCATTAATTATAAAAGTGATCATTCCATAAAGCCCTATTAAAGTCATTTAAAAAACTTAATAGTTTTACGTTCTGCTGTACTCGGCTGCACCTGTGTAATAGAATATTGATCGTTTGGATACCTCTAATCGAATTTTCGGCAAAGAAACATCCATAGCATTTCTAGACCTGTAGTATAGCTACCAGTCGCATTGAGTTGAAAATAATCAAGCAAATATGTTGGGACGATACCCAAGAGACATTTCTTAACTAGTATTACAGTATGCATTTTTCGTCTATAACTTAGTGTAGTTACTTTAAGTCTTGTTAACAATTCATCAGTTTCGATACCAGACTTTGGATGTAGATCAAGTTAGCGGCTCTAGGTTGAAGTTTCTCTAAGGAAACGATGTTACCTTGACCACAACCTTGCCATACAACGTCACAATAATCCAGCGTTGGTAGAACCATAGCCTTATAAATCATATCAGTGGCTGCACTAGTTAAGTAACGTCGAGAACGTCTTAAAGCACCCAGCTTCTTTGAAGTCTCTTTCGTAAGGTACATAACATGATCATTAAAAGATAGATGCTGATCAACATCTTTTAAACATTTAATTTAATTTCTTAATTTAATTAATTAAGAGGTCATGGATATACTTTTACATTAAGGTACAGCAGGAGACTCGTTAAAAAAGCATAACGGTATGGCTTTCACCACCAAGGATTCTGACAATGATGATACGGTATACAACTGTGCGGTGAAATTCAAAGGAGCCTGGTGGTATCGTAGTTGTCATGATTCCAATTTGAATGGTTTGTATCATTATGGCGCAGACACATCGTACGCTGATGGAATCAACTGGTACCATTGGAAAGGATATCATTATTCTCTGAAATCAACATCGATGAAGATGCGACCACGTCAATTTGGAAAGAATAAATAAAGTTGTTGAACAATAAAGAAGGTTTACCTTATAAAAAGTGCAGTGCAATAACGCATATCTTGTTGTTTTCATAAATATTTTAAAAAAATGTAATATGTGTCGTATAATGACATAGAGGAGATTCTGTTGAGATATGAGTCCAGTTCATGAAAGTTTGTTTTTAGTTTTAAATGGCGTTCACTAGTAGCATCTAATTTTCATCACTTTAACCCTGATCATGCGAGAGAAAACAAATTGTACAAAATCTGCATGTAGCTCAACGATTCGAGCACATTAAGGCAGCAGCCTGAAAAGATTTAGAGAGTGTTTCGTGACATACGCAGGCGAACAAGTCTTTTTGCTGAACGAAACGACGGCCATGTTGAATTCAAATATTTAGCTGAATTCAGTTATTCGGGTCTTAATTTCATTATGTTTACTCAGACGTGTTATCCCACGTATTAAATAAAGACGTTATTATTCTTATTAACTATCAATTTTTGTAAGAACTTTTCGACTCATCGTAAAAACCTGCTGACAAGCTCGCTGCAGCCTCCAAGTGGTTGCATGTAAAAGCATTTTCATTTCATGAACCTTCAAAGTGAGCTTTCAAGTTCACCATTGCGATGAGTGGAAAAGAGCATTTATATCTACCAAACTCAAAGTTTGATCGAATTCAATAAACTTCGCTGATGCAGCCTCCTCCACAGAGGTTTTTGAGTAAGTATTAAAAAGATCAACAGGGAAGGGGGGGGGGGGGGGTAGTCAGGCAAGCGCAGGTTGAGGAATAAACAATTACTTAATGGTTTCTTTGTTTCCTTTCCTTAATGGCTGATTGCCATACTTAATACTGAAAATGAAAAATTCTTTTTTATTCACGGCACGGCTTGTAAAAGAATGTTTTGTATCTTTGCACCTAACTTGTGGGAGTAAAGCTTAAAATCCGTCTCATTTAAGGCGGTTATAAATTTAAAACGATAATGTTGTGACGTGATTACCGAAAAGGTCTATTATCCAAGCACGGGATTCCCCCAATCAAAACGCGCGTTATATTCACGTTATTTTATAATACAATTTGAGAAGCCTCTGCCGTAGAATATTTTTAATGACGCGTCATTTTGCGTATTTTATACATTAATTATACAAAGCAATTAGCAAAATATTATGGCAGATCTGCTTTTTTGAGACCAAGCAGTTAGTGATCAAAGAGATTTGTTATTTACAACAAACTAGACAAATAACCAGTATCTGGAGACTTGTTTTCTAGCCATGCCGGCATGCGGATGTAAAATTAACATATCTACATAAAATTATGTAAATAAAACTTAAACTCGTCTGCACACCATGTGGAAACATGAAACTGATGAACCACGTGAACAATCATCGAGCGACAAACACGTATACAATACAAACAATGGGAGACAGGTCCTGGGTACGAGGTTTGAAGAATTAACAGACTGATTTAAAAATATATCGCCCCAAACAGACTTGCAACGTAAAATAATAATGACTTAAATAAAACAAAGCCCTGGCATTTTTCAACTTACGCTGGAGTAATGAATAAAAAATCCTTTTTTTGGGACTACAATGAGGGGGTAAATTCATTTAATGCTACGGGGAAACTATCAACCCAATCCTTGAATAAGGATCGTCAATATTCAATATGCAGCTAGCACGTATGTGCACTTAAATAATTTATCTGTGTTGTTAACATGTATCTTAGCTACTGTTCCTCCGATTTCTACACAAACAAGCTGTTTCAAATAAAGTCCTCAAATAATTTACAATATATCTTGATCAAAGTTGTGGTAAGTCATTTTAAACATTACAATTTATTGCTATTTACAAACATTACAATACTGCTTTATGCAATTTAAGCAAATTAGTATATTTTACTATAATTACGCTTCATTTCAAGGCATTCCCTATCCAAATTTAGTAACGCAGGCTTAATTTTTATTTTCATTACAGGAATATTTCTTCTTATTGCAACTGAAAGTTGAAGAACCATGCAATTTTTTAAACATTTCTTATTCCTATATGTACCATGTATATCACTTGCAGTCTTAAATGTCATATCAAGCGAAACAAGTGCAAACATTTGCTACAATTTTAGTCTTGAAGGTAAAGTAAATTTATATGAACATAATTATTGTCGTATCCTGAAAAGTCACGTGCATTTGAGGACATTACGTCTAAGTTGTTCTTCAGACATTTTGTAAGTTTAAATAAACTGTTCATGCATCTAGAGCTTCTTAGTGATAGAAATTAAGATCACATTTTTGTTAATCATCGAAGTATATAAAGCTATTCGTTCATGAAAATGTGGGACAGATTAATTCTTTGCACACATCATCCACGTATCTGATGTGTGGACAAAATCAAATGAGGGAAATATCTGAAAATATATCACAATGTCACAACCCTCTGCACTGCACGAGAATATATGTCAGTGAAATCGAGAACTTGCAAACTTGAACTTCCTTAATTTCTATATCCGTTGCCTATCCTTGATAATCCCTCCGTTTACGCTGTACTCAATTTATTAGCATGACACGCGGCTATGATTATTGTCCTTTTCACAAAAGAAAACTTCATGATTCGATTTTAAATAAAAAATATGAAAATAGCGCAAACCAGTAGGAAATATAAAATGAAGATGGTTCTTTCTTAATTTGAAATTTAAATTTACTGATCTACCCATCTACCCACCTAACCAACCAACCACCCACCTACCCACTTACCCAACCACCAACCTAACGCAGCACCCACCTAACGCAGCACCCACTTATCCACCTACCTTGGCAGGTGGATAAACCTTCTTGAAGGTTTTCCTAAAAAAATATTTTACACTTTAGGGTTCCGACTGAATGTAACAGTTATTAAGACAAAAGTCGTTTCTGAATGGATAGATTGCGTAATGGAGTGTGCAACTGAGATATGTTGTAGATCTATCAACTTCAAGAAGAAATTGGCTTCAATAAACGATTCAAATTGTGAAATGTTACACAACGTGGTTTACAATACATCTGAGAAGTTACTGGAGAAGAATTCCTCTTATAATTATGTTTATCTTGTTAACCCACAGAAGGTATGATTTAGTAGCATAGCTGATTGCTGTTGCGTTATTCGAGATATAATAACTGCATTTCACCCTAAAACATTTAAACATGCATAAACCTGACTATTTTAACAAGGTTCAATTTTGTTGGATGGCTTAGCGTTGTTATGATCGTTCATTGCAAACAACAGGGAATTAATATTCTTCATTACAGGGTTACAATGAAAGTTGTCTTAAAAACACTTCCGATGAAAATGAAAGAGGTATGTGTTGATGAAAGAAAAAAATTAAAACAACTCAAAACCAGGAAAGGGTTATAAACCTTTGGAAGCCACAGTCAGTGAGAGTATGCCAAAAGTGTTTAACATATTCTTATTCTAAATAATTTAGTCAGAGACTGCGCTGATATATACAATAAAGGAATAAAACAAAGTGGTATTTATGAAATTGATCCGGACGCAAAGGGAAGTTTCAAAGTATTTTGTGATATGACAACATCAGGTGGAGGATGGACTGTATTTCAACGTCGTCTTGATGGAAGTGTTGACTTCTACCGAGGATGGGAAGATTACAAACAAGGTTTTGGTAACTTGAGCAGGGAATATTGGCTTGGTCTTGACAAAATACACAGGATGACAAATATTTCACAAAACGAACTTCGTATCGACATGGAAGATACATCTGGGAACACCAGATACGCTAATTATGATTCATTTAAAGTCAGCAGCGAAAATGTGAAGTACAAGTTAAATGTTGGAGGTTATGATGGTAAGCATTTTACATAAAACTGAGTCATATTTCAATAAAATTATAAGAGAGTACAGCTCTTTATACAATTAACTTTAAAATTATAATTGAGTATATATTTGATACGTGTAATCGAGATCTCCTTTAAATTAAACGGTAAAATCGGTGAAATGTAAAAAAAGCAATGAAATGTAATTGAAACGAGTACTTAGCCACAGGAGAATACCATGAAATGCGAGGTGATATGCAGTCCATAAAATGAAACATCAGGATCCTTAGAATTGTTTTCAAAATCTTATACCTCATTATATTGATACCATTTATAATAATTATTACAACAACTCTTTACCGGCATCCTTTACAAAGACGGAATGGGACAGTAAACATGACATGACATTTGCGAGGACATAGTACTTGACGTGTAAATAGCAAAGCGCTATTAAATACCCCAGGTGGTAATATTTTGTTATGTTTGAAGAAAATTCAATTCGTCTTTCAAACAGTAGTTTATCCCCATGTCCGTTCCGTCGATAGGTTTTGCATCCGTATCCGCATTTTAACCTAGTCGTGCTGACGTAGCATAATTAGGTATATCTAGATGGATAGATAGAATTTTATATATACAGGGTTAAAAACTCTTTCAGTGTAGAGGCACTGTTATCAATGGAGGCCCTGTAACAAAAATCAACTTATGAATACATACATACATAATAATTTACCCTCAGTAACTATAACTACATACATGAGAAAGAGCAAATACACACAAGGAATACATCACTTAATCATTAATTATAAAAGTAATAAAGTCATTTAAAAAACTTAATAGTTTTACGTTCTGTGGCAATCTGTTGTACTCGGCTGCACCTGTGTAATAGAATATTGATCGTTTGGATACCTCTAATAGAATTCTCAGCAAAGAAACATTCATAGCATTTCTTGACCTGTAGTAGCTACCAGTCGCATTGAGTTGAAAATAATCAAGCAAATATGTTGGGACGATACCAAAGAGACATTTCTTAACTAGTATTACAGTATGAATTTTTCGCCTATAACTTAGTGTAGTTACTTTAAGTCTTGTTAACAAGTTAGCGGCTCTACGTTGAAGTTTCTCTAAGGAAACGATGTTACTTTGACCACAACCTTGCCATACAACGTCACAATAATCCAGCATTGGTAGAATCATAGCCTAATAAATCATATCAGTGGCTGCAATAGTTAAGTTACGTCGAGAACGTCTTAAAGCACCCAGCTTCTTTGAAGTCTGTTTCATAAGGTACTCAACATGATCATTAAAAGATAGATGCTGATCAACATCTTTTAAACATTTCATTTAATTTCTTAATTTAATTAATTAAGAGGTCATGGATATACTTTTATATTAAGGTACAGCAGGAGACTCGTTAATAACGCAAAACGGTATGGCTTTCACCACGAAGGATTCTGACAATGATATTTGGGGTGATAACTGTGCAGCGAGATTCAAAGGAGCCTGGTGGTATCGTAGTTGTCATTATTCCAATTTAAATGGTTTGTATCATTATGGCGCACACACATCGTTCGCTGATGGAGTCAACTGGAAACATTGGAAAGGTTATTATTACTCTCTGAAATCAACATCAATGAAAATGCGACCACGTGAATTTGGAAAGAAAAAATAAAGTTGTTGAACAATAAAGAAATGCAAAGGAAATGTTTAATTTATAAAATGGATAATATAGTGCTCGTAAATCACATCTTTAAATCACAAATTTACATTAAGGTCATAGCATTTGACGTGTAAATAGCAAAGCGCTGTTAAATACCCTGGGAATAGAATGACTCTATAATTTTATATATATTTGTTAATTTTGTAATTTCTTATCGACCAGCAGGACAGACTAAATTGTGGGAGAATGGGTTGCCGCGTTGAACGATATTTCCGTAATAATTCACAGGAATTGTTTCACCATTGACCATGCGCAATTCATCTAGAATAGGCCGTGCTTGTCATTCCCTCCCTAGCTTGAATGTTTTAGGGGTGATATTCCTTTGTAATTAAAGTAAGCAAGGTGTGATTGACAAAAGAGGATTGCCAGGGTGATTTGATCGTCGCTCTTTCCACCCTCTTCGTTGACTCATCAAGTAATACGGGGTAATGGCTTCCATCAATTTACTTTGGAGTGATTTCATACCGAAAAAATTTCTTTTTACCGTCAAGTTGTAATTGCACTCTTACTCATACCGAATAAAAATCACTCTAGTATATACAACCAGCCAATCACCACTCAGGATAGAAAATGTGAATTTTAAATCATGCTAAATATTAATAAACCAACTGTATAAAAGTGTATTTTAAGTTGCCATTAGAATCGGCTAATTTTCCTGACAGCTATATCTTCGCTTGGCATAGCTACGAAGGAAATAGGAAACATATGTGATTTGAGTTTTTAAAAATTATAGACTTTGTGTGTGCGCAAAGTGTGGACGCAAAGTGTGGCCTTGCTGGGGTAGATGCATGAGCTTGGCAGACTTTAAGACTGCGAGGTAATGACGTGCACGCAATACGAGAAAGATTGTGAATTGCCAGCAGCAATATGACATGGATGAGGCACACAACTTTCAACATTCAGCATGAGCAATGTTGAGGACAAAACAAAGACTTATTCTGTCCAAAGTTGTCCCTCCTGTATTGTCTTATTCGCATTGCCTCAATTCCGTCTGCGAAAAGAAGACTGTGATTCTATGCATTGCTTTGTTGGCGACTTTCTATGCGGTAATTGGCCTTTTTTGAGAAAAAATATTTGTTGTTATTATGTAGATATGATAATTAAGCTGGCTTATGAGTAATGACTCTGGCTAGTCAATGACATGTTACAATGACTTTCAGACTAATCAACATTATGAACTGGCTTATAAGTCATTACTTTGGCTAGTCAATGACATGTTAAATGACTTTCAGACAAATCAACATGATGAACTGGCTTATCAGTCATTACTTTGGCTAGTCAATGATGTGTTAAATGACTTTCAGACTAATCAACATGATGAACTGACTTATAAGTCATTACTTTGGCTAGTCAATGACATGTTAAATGACTTTCAGACAAATCAATATGATGAACTGGCTTATGAGTAATTACTCTGGCCAGTCGATGACATGTTAAATGACTTTCAGACTAATCAACATTATGAACTGGCTTATCAGTCATTACTCTGGCCAGTCAATGACATGTTAAATGACTTTCAGACTAATCAACATTATGAACTGGCTTATCAGTCATCATCATTATAGCCAGTCAATATCATGTTAAGTGGTTTTGAGACTATAATTATAATAGACATGAGGAACTGGCTTATCATCACAGTGGCAAGACTAGATTGCATAGAGATTGGGTACACAGCTCAGGTTGCATGGAAGCTGTATCTTCTCTGTACCGCAAGTCATGATTGATATAAACAAGGAAATTACCTTATGTAAGAGACTCTTGCTTCCTCCACCACTCATCCATAAATCAATCTCAACAATATGATCAGAAAATGTTCCACATGTTAAACATGGCTGCACAAGAATGTCAGACCACATTGGTGTTGGTAATTCTGACACAATATAACTGTTTACATCATGATAAGTATCCACAAAGTGAGCTGGATCGAAAGAAGAACAACAATTGATCACTGAATATAACTTTATTTTATGGTACATAATCATGATATTAATTTTCTTTAATTCTTACTCAAATCAGAATATCAATATTTGCATCACATATTTCCAATCTTGTATGTAATTTTTGTGTAAGAAAAGAACATTCTGGGCTTAATTTTCACATTTATAAGTCTAAGTGGAATAAAGTCAGTCACAGTATACCATGTTACATAATTCCCTACAGTAAGTATGTTGAATCACTTTTCTGAAAAAGACTTCAGCAGTCAATTCAATAAATAAATTAGCAATAATTGGTTTCAATGCCATATTAGTTAACATGCATGGGAAGTGGTTGCATGATGTTGTACAATACCGGTATCTCTATTGTGAAAATGATTTGTTATTTTGTGTTAAAACTCAAATATTGTATTTACAAGGTGTTGCTGTTAGAAGGATATAACCATATTATAAAGCATGAATTTTAATCTGCCTTAAATATATTTCAAAGATTTTCCAAAGTTGAAACATACCTCAAGATTTTTAATAAGGCCATTTAAGATTTTTCACCCTTATTTCCAATCTAACTTCCAAATCTCCATAATTCTGTTTTAAATATTCATCAGTCCACGAGGTGAATGCCTTAGAGTGTTTCGCAGCTCCTCTAAAAACCACAGGCTTGGAGATTTTAACATAGTCAGTCCAAAACTCGAGAGGTGAAGGTACATCAAAGCGTTCATCGATACTTTCTGGTGATCGATGTGATCCAAGCGGCTTTAAATGACCTTTTGGAAAAGTTTTATCAGCAATATTTATTTGTAAACAAAGTATCTTGAATGTTATAAGGTTGCTTAGTATCTTGTATAATATCATTTAATACCGCTTTTCCTTTGCTTTCATATCAAGGACGATACACCTTTTATTGTTTTTTAATTTTTTCCATTTCCCCTAAATCACATCCACTAGAAGTAGAATATAGACACTGAGCTGAGTCTGACCTGGATAGTTAGGCTGCGTTCAGACTGGGTGCCAGTAACTCGGTTTATCTAAAAATTACGCTTCCAAATAAAACCGGGCACGATGCTCAAGAACGAGCACTGCCTTAAATGGTGCACATAGTGAGTGGACGCTAATTCTCAATGAGTGCAACTCACCACACAATGAGTGTCAACTCACACTTACATAGCATAATGCTACACTCACACTCCAAGTATTCAAAGAAACCACTCACACTCGAGTGAAGTGTGAGTGAGAGACATACGTCCCTTGAACTACACTCAATTATGCTCAGTTGTACTTTGTGATTCAAATAATGATTCAAACATAGCGGAAATCTGGTCACGTCAAACACATCATTAAGCTGTTTATTTGTGCCGGAATTATAAAAGCAAAAGCTGCAGCTTCGTCGTCTTGTTTCGATGATGATTAATGAAGGGCAACCACCACTTAAATCTGTTGTTTGTGTAAAATGTTTGGATAAAATTGCAGATGATATAAAGAAACAAAACACGATAATCATAAAAGACGGCGTACGGTGATTCTGAGTCAGTTTAACCGTCGAAATGTCATTAGGGTTGTCGTAAATAGTTCAATCATGCGGTGACAATTCCTTTTTGAAATGGCGAGTATATTGTAATGAAGTTTGTTAGATATTCTTAATTCTGTAGCGAACTCGCTGTCATCCATTTTTATCATTAATATTTTTATTTCATTGAACGTAATCTTTGCGAACAAAATTTTCTGAGGCCACGTGCATGTTTTTCAAGGGCTACATGCCCCCCAACGCCCCTTTTTTCTCATGGTAATTACCACTGACTGACATACCGCTATCCAAAGTGAAAAACGACTGTTCTCGACTTACTGAATAGGCCGCGCTTATTTTGGATCGTATAAATGGCCCTAATTGGGCCTAATGATCCCATTTGGCAGATTTAGCACGAGGATGTGAAAGTCAAAGAAGACGTGAAAATGAAGAATAAATGGCGTGATGCGTTAAAGGAATAATATGAAATCCACAAAAAAATTCTGAACAGTTTTTTCAACAAGCAGCACAACTGTTGTGCTCTTTGCTAAAGGAACTTCTTTTCCATTTCCGTAAATGGACATGCCACGCTAATGACACTATTTATTCGCCATTAATTTTCCCATCCTTTTGACGTTCGCGTCCTCGTCCCTACCTATATGTATCCCTAAATCTGCAATTGACAAAGTTCAAGAGTAAAAATAAAAGTGATATTTTTTTAAAAGAATCTCGTGAACAAAAAAAAATCGAACTGCAGCACTTTGAAACAGCTAAGAATGTCAGTCTGAGAGGCCCTGAACAAAATGTCTTATTTTGGCTAAAGTCAGGGGACTTTTTTGTCCACGATCCGTCTGAAGGTTACCCAGTTACTATGACGACACATCAGAACGAGGCAAATCTGACATCGCAAATCTCGATATGACACGGCTACGAAACGTTCTTCTTCGTCGAACACAATAAGCTTCAATCCGCCTATTTCAATTCAATTGTTCTTTTATAACGATTGTTTTTGTAAATTGCAAACATTTACTTTGTAATAATAAGTCTTAATAAAGACTAAATGGGCCGTAGAAGACATAGCGTAGAAGACATAGCGTCTGAAGACAGACCCTGGGTACGAGGTTTGAAGAATTGGCAGTCAATAAACTGGCAAATAAGAGAGCAACGGAGCTAGGCCATGGGGACGAGGATGGTAAGAGACGTTAATATTTAATACGCAGCTTGCACTTAAATAATTTATTGCTGTTGAGTGCTATACTTGCATATTAGTATTTTATTACTGTTCGTCCATGCAGTTTCTACCCAAACCAACTGTTCAAATAAAGTCCTGAAATGATTTCCAATAATATATCTTAATCAGAGTTGTGGTAAGTCATTTTAAACATCAAAATTTATTTACATTGACTTTGTTTCGTGAAATGCAGTCAAATGTTGTGTTATTTTAGAAGTTTGTACGTTATAGATGCCCTTTGATAACAGAAACTTCATTAAATTTTTCCCTCAGTTTACAAAGAACGTAGTTGAACTTAAATGGTATGCTATTCAGTATATTATATATCAACACATTAAATCAGCTTTCTCGACATGCAATTCAAGGACTTAGTCTGTTAGTATACGATTAAAAAACACAATTCTTGAAATGAAATAAAAATAATCGGTTGTTTGAGATTGTTGCCAGGGATTGTCATGCAATTATACGACCCACACGAAACGGATCTTATTTCAGATAAAACACTGAAATTAGAAATTTAGTGAAATAAGAATCCTAAGTTGCCTGGCGCTCGGCATTAGAAAAAAATAAACAAACTGTCTCAATTAAGCAAACTACCTGCTTAAATAAATGAATGTCAGTCACGATTTCGATCGTGTGGCACAATTAATCTCTATTTTGGCTAAAATGACATTGGAAAAATATCTGCTATTATCATATACACAAGCGCCAGATATGAGGTATATTGCAATTTCATTGGTTGGCTACTAGACAGATATTAGCTCATATCTGTCTGGTAGAGAGAGTTAACAAAATGGCTGAAAGATTTGGGGAGTTGAGTGAAATAGAAATCCAAGCTTTAGTTGATAATAGCACACCAAAATGCACCGAAAGGGCGACAAAGTTTGTGTATGCAATAAAACAGTTATTCTGCTCACTCTCGTCCTATATATGGCCGATAGCCAACTCGGCGCTACGCGTCTCGTCGGCTATCAGCTCATCAGTATACGACTCGAGTTCGCAAAATAACTGTTAGTTGCAGTATTGTTATTCTCCACACCATACAAAATTCTCTGGCTCTCCTGCATGGTCTTATCCGCATTGCCTCGATTCCTGCTGCACTTTGAAACAGCTAAGAAGGTCAGCTTGAAAGGCCTAGAACAAAATGTTTTATTTTGGCTTAAGTGGGGCCTTTTTGTCTACGATCCACGACGTGGTTAGCTGATTTTGTTCGACGTCGCTAATCAAATATTTTTCTTGAAATAAGCTACGGGAAGTTAATTATGCTGTCAGGACTTTGAAATATTCACACATTCAAACGTTGCAATGTGATTCGTTGTCAATGCTATCGACTATATCGAGTCCGTACGTAACTGTTATTGATTATAAGCTTTGAATCCACTAATTTCAATTATTCTTGTTTGTTTATAACGGTTCCTGTTGTAAATTGCAAACAATTATACTTTGTAATAAGAATTCTTAATAAAAGACAACATCAAATGGGCCGTTAACATTAACATTTGTTTCCTCACCAGAGAAAATGCGGGTTCGGGGAACGAGATTGCACAATACATGAAATGGAATTCAGACAGGCCCTGGGTACGAAGTTTGAAGAATTGGCAATCTATAAACTGCCAAATAAGAGACGTTAATATCTAATATGTAGCTTGCACTTAAATTATTTGTTTGCTGTTGAGTGCTACTAACATGCTTATTCGTATTTTATTACTGTTCGTCCATGCAGTTTCTACGCAAACCAGCTGTTCAAATAAAGTCCTGAAATGATTTCTAATAATATATCTTAATCACAGTTGTAGTAAGTCATGCTAAACATTAAATTTATTTCTAATTACTTTGTTTCGTGAAATGCGGCCGAATCTTGGGCTATTTTTGGGGTCAGTTGCAGTTATATAGATGCCCTTTCATAACAGAAACTTAATTAAATTTCCCTCAATTAACAGAGAACGTAGTTAAATTTAGAAAAGAGCAATTCTTAAACTGAAATGAAATTAATTATGATTTTTGGCACTTCACTCGGTGCAGGTAAATTCTAGAGGTTTTTAGGGTCTTAATACACACTTCAAATTCAAGCCAGGAACAGTTAATGGAGAAACGAGTCAAATATTGATCTTCCGGCAGGAATCGAACCTATATACGCTTTTGCGATGCCGGTGCAATGCTCTTGCCACTGCCGGACATTTAGTGGGTATTTAGTTTTATTTAATTAATTTTTTACTCTATTTTAATTAACTCAAAACTGCCAAGGATACTTCAAACCCTTCGCTGTCTAACAGTATAGTTAAGATTAACGGCGTCCGCTTCCCTATACTTATGATTGAATTTTCAAATTTTTATGAAACACAGCTTCAAGATCCTTTTGTATTCGTCTCTTTCCCTGGTAAATATCGTCCTATATTATCGAGTCGAAAAAAGACTATTTAAGCGATGTTTGTTACAGCAATCTTGAGCTTGCTGTTGCTTGATATTGGAAACATTTCTGCAAACCAATGTTCCCAGAAGAGATACGACACAATCATAAAAGGTGAGACGTCTTTCCATGTTTTTTTTGTCAAAAATTTTGTCGTGAAATATAGTTTAATACTTCATATATGATGAAAAACAATCTGTTATCCAAAGTTTGGACATTTTTCATTGGAAAATAAGTGTTTTTCGAATTTTGTTAAAATTCTTAGGTGGTCCATCTTTACCTGGTGACGAGATAATATCAAGACACAATATGACGTCTTCGTTTGTCATGTTCGAGTGTCACAATCACTGCAATGACAAACTCGAATGTGTTGCATTCAACTACAGAACAACAAAAGATGTTGAAAATTGCCAACTGACAAACGTTACTAGAAAGAAAGAAGAAACGAAAACGGGAGATTGGATGTTGATGCAAGATGTTGAAGCGGTAAGATTAACAAATTTAGGCATAATTTGAATTTCGTAATCATGCAATAAAAATTAATAATTATGTAATTCCATACAACAAGACAAAGTAACTGATTTTTATCGCTTAGCGATGCTGCCAAATACAATCAAATTTCAAATATTAATTGAGAGTTTCTTCATACCGTTAATTAACACAATATAAATTATAGAAATATACTAAGGGGCGTGTAGAAGCCCAGGGGTGTAGGAAGCACCTAGAGATTGGAGCATCGCTTCCTTGGGCACTTTCGGTTAAAAAAACGGCAGCCAAAAATATGTGTAGGGATGGTTTGACTGCCAAAGCTGCAAGGTCACCACTAGTGGGAGTTATATTTTATATACAAAAAGATTTCGGCATTTGTAAGTGGGCATACGTAGGAAACAAAAAGGGTACCTTCATCATTAAAACAGTTTTTGAAGCTACCTTAGCTTTTAAAGAAGCATTCTTCATAACAAAAAAGCACTTTTCATTCCTTGAAAAATTTTGAGGGGACACCAACCCCGAGTGTCCATGCCCCTGAAATTGCCATTGGACCTGTGTACCAATGACACGATCGAAGCAACGTGGAAGCGTGTATAAATAAATTGTTAAAATGAGGTGACTGCTTGAATTGTTTTCATATTTATTTTTGTTTTTCTTAGATAAAAATCAGCCTTTTTAATTAACTATACCAAATCTATGCTCATTCATGCAACATCTGTTCGCTTATAGGATGGCATGTGAAACAGAACAAAACTGATCATAACATATGTTTGTTAACAATGGATACATTGACGTCCTTAGAAATAAGTTAAACCTCAGATCTTTCACTGAGAAGTAAATAATGAAAATTTTGTCCGGAAAAATAAAGCAGTAAATTAACGCTTTGTGGGAAAATAGTGGTCAAATTTGTAGCTATTAAAAGGCAGTGAAAAATTACTGTCAGAGATAAAAAAAAAACGAAATGTGTCGAACTAATAAGCATTATCTACTAACCATTTCCCTTCTTCATTAACGAAGATATAGTAATATAAAGCGAATTCAGTATAGTAAACTATACATGCACGTTTAATAATAGTGATAGTGCATAACGCAGGCACAAAGGTGATAGCAGCAAATAAACAGTGTTGCCGACATTGATATTTAATGAACAAAATATTACCCGAGAAAAACTCAGTTATTATTTAACTGCATGTAAGAAAATATTTTCTATACCTCCGATCTTCGGATCACTCTGTATTTGTGCCAAAATTCAATCTCTTTCCTCGAAATAAGGTATCTCAAGTTTCTTTTGTCTATGCCAACAAAAATTTGTGTTGAAGATTTATAGAAATTAGAAATATATAGACGTAATTTTAACAATACTTGGGTGAAATCGGTGTAATTAATTATTAATGAAATAATGCATTGATTCATGTAAAGATTAAAATCAATATTTTGCTAATTTAACATTGCTTAATTTTGTATAGACAAAGAATGAGGTTGAAAAACAAAAGCTTACCAGGAAATCAGGTATGATTCCGATTTAGAATTATCATAAATAACATAATTATAAATTTCTGGTCAGCCTAGTGATTTCATATTCGGAACAAAAACTAACAGAAATTTAATATTTAAATTTTTTAAGTATTATGCAATGGGAAGTGTTTTAAATCATCTGTCAATATGCGCCACATTAATGCAATACGTACGAATGAACCTCAGGGCCTCTTCTAATAATTTTGATTGGGGTAGGGGGCATCACAAGAAGTAAACTATTCCCTAGCGCAGCGAAGTAGAAATCTTGATCGAGCCTAAAGAGGTTGCTTGCAAAATTTTTAAAATCAATAATCTAATTTAAAATAATTAACAGCAAGCATCTCCAAGTCTGTATGTTAAGAATGTGTCAAATATTGATCTTCCGGAAGGAATCGAACCTACGCTTTTGCAACGCCGGTGCAATGCTCTTGCCACAAAGCTAGAGAGATTGTCAAGAGCGATTGCCAAGAGCGAGCGTAGTTGGTGTGAATTTAGCATCGTAATCCCAAAAAAGGGCACGAATGCATATTGCTTCCTTTTTGCAGGTGAAACAGAAAATAATCTGATAGCCAGAACCCAATACACGATATGTTAAAAGCTATTGTATTGTATTTCTGTGGGAAAAATGGAGAGGATTATTAGCCCGTTTGCAATAAATTATTATTGCTTTCATTCCACTATTCTACTAAGTTGTAATGTAAAACCATGATATTTTTCAGGTTTCAACTGCGATGATTTGTATAAAAAGGGAAATAACCAAAGTGGAATTTATGAAATTGACCCTGACGGAAAGGAAAGTTTCAAAGTGTTTTGTGATATGACAACATCAGGTGGAGGATGGACTGTATTTCAACGTCGTCTTGATGGAAGTGTTGACTTCCACCGAGGATGGCAAGATTACAAACAAGGTTTTGGTAGCTTGAGCGGAGAATATTGGCTTGGTTTTGACAAAATACACAGGATGACAAATATTTCACAAAATGAACTTCGTATCGACATGGAAGATACATCTGGGAACACCAGATACGCTCATTATGATTCATTTAATGTCAGCAGCGAAAGTGAGAAATACAAGTTGGATGTTGGAGGTTATCATGGTAAGCATTTTACATTAAACTAAGTCATATTTCAATGAAGAAAGTACAGCTCCTTTTACAATTAACTTTAAAATTATAATTGAGTCGACTCTATATAGAGTTGAAACGAGGCCCTGTTGGTATATCGTCAAGAAATGTAAAATATTACCATTTCGAGAATTTGCAAAATGTTTAAAAAAAAAAAAACAAAACCAAAACAAGATTCTCAGAAACATTCGATAGGTGCAATCGAGGTTTCCTTTAAGTTAAACGGCGGCAAAATCGGTAAAATGTAAAAGAAGCAATGAAATGTATTTCAAACAAGTATTTAGCCACAGGAGAATTCCATGAAATTCGAGGTGATATGCAGTCCATAAAATGAAACATCGGGATCCTTAGAATTGTTTTCAAAATCTTATAACTCATTATATTGATACCATTTATAATAATTATTACAACAACTCTTTACTGGCATTCTTTACAAAGACGGAATGGGACAGTGAACATGACATGACATTTGCGAAATCACAACTTCAAATCACAAATTCACATTGAGGACATAGTATTAGACGTGTAAATAGCAAAGCGCTGTTAAATACCCTGGCAATATTTTGTTATGTTTGAACAAAATTCAATTGGTCTTTCAAGCAGTAATTTATCCGCATGTCCGTTCCGTCGATATGAATTGCATCCGTATCCGCATTTTAACCTAGTCGTCCTGACGTAGCATAACTAGGTGTATCTACATCTTTTAACATTTAATTTAATTATTAAACTTAATTAATTAAAAAGTCTGGATATAATATTACATTAAGGTACAGCAGGAGACTCGTTAAAAAAGCAAAACGGTATGGCTTTCACCACCAAGGATTCTGACAATGATGTTAAGGGATACAACTGTGCAGCGCGTTACAAAGGAGCCTGGTGGTATCGTGGTTGTCATGATTCCAATTTGAATGGTTTGTATCATTATGGCGCAGACACATCGTTCGCTGTTGGAGTCAACTGGTACCATTGGAAAGGTTATTATTATTCTCTGAAATCAACATCGATGAAGATACGACCACGTGAAATTAGAAAGAAGAAATAAAGTTGCTAAACACTAAAGAACTGTGAAAGAAAATGTTTAATTATTTATCTTTTCCAAATATTTATAGCCTAGAGACCTAGTATTTCACGTAGATAACGTATAAGAATATTTACTTGGAGGAGATTCTTCTCTGACGCCTAGGCATTCCTAAGTCCGGGTTCATGAAAGTGTGTTTTTAGTTTTAATTATACAGGGTGTATCAAACTCATAATAATATCTCAATACATATATCGTTAACTTTCGACACTATGTATAATAAAAAGATAAAAAGATAAAAAGGCGATTAAAAGTGCTAGTTTCGTCCTTCGGACCTTTTCAACAAATCGCCATATATAGTAAACATATGTTAAAAACGGTAAAAAAAACTTCATGTAATACAAATATATTATCCATCTACTGTTGAAACTTCATGTAATAACATGATCAATCTACTGTCACGATAGCACGGGGAATTTTCACATAATTCCATTCATTCTTTGTGTTTATTAGTTCACTTTGCTTTACTCTGTTGATGTTTACTGCTTCTGTAACCTGTCTTAACATTGCATCGTCACGGAAAATGCCAGTAACATTCATTGTAAAGGGTGGTATATCGCCTCCATGCTTCTCATTTGCATGTCTCCACATGACAGACTGTTCTTCACGACGATTCAAGGAGTGTAAATGCTCTTTGCCACGACTATATGCACCTCTTGACGTTTCTCCTACATATATGTGCTTGCATTCCTGGCAAACAAGTTCGTACGTGACTCCAGTGGCACCACATTCTCCTTTCTCATTACTTTGGCAAACCAAACACTCTCGTCATTTACATCGTTTCTCCCGGAAAGGGTTAGATCGTTGTAGTCGTTGTTGAGGTGTTACTCCAGATTGTTCTACTATCTTGATGTTAAGTCCAACACGTTTAACTTCTTCTTCATATCGTTGTTTAAGGGCAGATCTTGGTTTGCTGGTATGTTATATTTGTTATAAGCTATAAAGTGTACTGTACACAAGTCAAATACATATATAATCTAACTCTATACTTGAAGGGCTTATATACACAATGCCATGCCCAATTAACATATACATACATTAACATCTTTCTCCTCCCAAAAAACCCCTACAAGATTATTAAATAAATTATTATACGCCCGTAAGAAAAGTATTATAATAAAATAATAACAAACCTAATGTACTATTTTCATTGTTCCTATTTCCCCGGTCAAATTATAATAACAAATTATATCAGGTTCAACCTAGTATATAGTCTTTATTTTTACTAGGTTTATTACGAACTCTACCCGATCTTCGTAATGAATTTGTTCCTTCATTTATTCGTTCTTCTATTCCGGGCACCGTACCAGAGCTTTCACCACACACACCTTCGATATTTTTTTCCACCAGAATATCTTCACCGTCACTTTCCGGCAACGAAATGACCTCTGTATCTTGATCGACTTGTTTTTCTAACTTCACCTTATGTATGTGTTTACGATTACGCCGCACTAATCCTAACGGCGTCTGCATAACACACGGCCTTTCATCAGGTTTCTCAACTACTTTTCCATAGATTCATGGCTTGTTCTTCTCTCGCGGTTTCGCCCAAACATGATCCTTAATTTCCAACTCCTCGACTGGCTGTGATGCTTTCTTATCATATTGGATCTTTGACTGCCTTCTTCTCTTCCTAATATCTTCCTTAACCACGGAATCATCAACTGAACGCGGTCGTAACCGCGTCGATATTGCTGGAATAATATCCCTTAATCTTCGCGACATCAATCTTTCAGCAGGCGAATATGTGTATCCTTGTTGTGGAGTATAGCGATATGCTAGCAACGCCAGATATGGATCTTCATGTCCAGACTTCTTCAAGATCTTTTTCGCCACTTTAACCGGCGATTCCGCTTTAACATTGCCTTTACTGCAGTAAGGGGAGGATGTCACTGATAAAAATCCGTACTCTTTCGCGAACGATTTGTATTCAAAACTTACAAACTGTGGCCCATTATCACTAACGCACTCCTTCGGGATTCCATGTCTTGCAAAATTCTTCTTCATGGCTTTAATAACTGTATTGGCAGTAGTATTCTTCAAATAATCAAGCTCAATAAAGTCGCTATAATGATCAACCATCACCATGTAGTTCTTTCCATCTAACTGAAATAAGTCCACACTTATCTTAACCCACGGTAACTCAGGCACTTCATGTGACTTCATCGGCTCCCTCGGTTTCTCTCTCTGAAACTGAGCACAAACTCCACACGCATCACAACATGGACGAATATCAGCGGACATTCCTGGCCAAAATAGAACTTCTCGCGCTCGTCGGATGCTGCTATCAGCTCCTTGGTGAGCTTTATGAATCTTCTCCAACATTTCTTTTCTTAATGTCACAGGTATAATAACTTGATGCGATTTCAACAATACTTCTTTATAAACTGTAATTTCTTCTTTGAAAGACCAAAATGGTCGAAGACACGGTGATAACATTGACTTGTCCAACGGCCAACCGTTCTTTACCACTTCTACCAACTGCGTCAATGTTGAATCTTTCATCGTTTCTTCATGTACTCTTTTGAATGTACATATCATCTGACATCATAGACGGTTTTCAATCCATCTCTAAAAGTTCCATTCGAAATACGACTTCAGTCTCTAAATCTAAGGAACCAGTTCTTTCCAATGCTGCTCTTGAAAAGGTGTCAGCTATATAAAGCTCTTTTCCTCTTTTATATACCACCTCAAAACAATATTGTTGAAGTTATAGCATCATTCTTTGAAGGCTTCTTAAAAATCGTTTCTAAAGGTTGATGATCTGTCTGCACAACAATATCTTGTTTACCAAAGAGGTATTGGTGCCACTTTTTCATAGAAGTCACAATCGCTAAACACTCTTTTTCGATCTGAGCGTATTGCTTTTCTGTATTGTTTAATGTATGTGGCGTGAAACAAACTGGCTTTCCTTCTTGTAAAAGCACTCCTCCAATAGCTTCGTCTGACGCATGCACTTGTAGGGTAACTGGCAACTTAACGTCATAATAGCGCAGACTTGTACTTGATGCAATGAGTCGCTTCGCTGCAACAAACGCATTCTCTTGAGCCCTTGTCCAATTAGATTCAACACTTTGTTTTACTAAATTTCGCAATGGTAACACCGTCTCACTTAAATTTGGACACATACACAAAAATCTCTGCACACCAGCTTTATCCACAGGTCTTGGCATCTCACGAGCTGCGCTGACTTTCTCAGAATCCGGTTTAATTCCTTCATTCCTTAGTTTGTGTCCCATAAAGATAACCGAATCTGACTTAAATTGCATATTTTTTTCTGACAGTCGAAGATCTTCATCTCTACATTTATTCAATAACGCGACTAGATTCCTATCATGATCTTCATTCGCTTCTTCCATTGTTTTACCACGTCCGAAAATGCAAATATCATCCGCGATATTAATCACGCCATTTAGTCCTTCAAGGAACTCTTGTTGACGTCGCTGATACTCCTCAGGTCCAGATGAAATGCCAAAAGGCATTCGCTTATATCGATATCGTCCATTCGGGCCTTGAAATGCTGTAAGCAAAGATGAATCATAATCCAATTCAATATTGTGAAACGCTTCCGAAACGTCAACCACTGTCAAAACTTTAGCATTCGTTAGAAAAGGCAATTGCTCTTCAATAGTTGGTATAGGATAAACGGGTCGCCGTATGGCCTTTTTTACAGTACGACTTGGGTCTATACATATTCGAATTCTCCCATCAGGCTTCCCGCGCACAAGCATATTTGATAACTATTCTGTTGGCTGCGTCACTGGAGCTATAGTGTCCTCCTCGCATAACCTCTTTAATTCTTCATTTACTCTTTCCAACTTCGTTACCGGTACTCTTCTCCGAGGGGCTTGTACAGGTTTTACATCTGAATCGATTTTAATATGCAATGCAATGGATCTCCAAGGGGTTTTCCTCTTCCAGGCTTGAATACTTCCTTATATTGTAAAAGAACTGATTCTCTAGTAAACTTTCCGATCAGCGGAAATTCTCCTGCAGTCTTTCCTTCACCACTAACATCAACAGCCTGAACCTCATCCGCATAAATCTTCAAATATCTTAAGTTTTTGGGCATCGCACCCACTCAGTAACGCTGGTTTCACTTTAGGCACATCGACAACAAGAAAATCCAGTAAATGAAATTTTCCCTTTACTTCACAACATAACGTGACCTGTCCCTTTGGTTCAATTTTCTGACTTCCATATGTGCATAATGTCGCCAAAGTTTTCCTTAATTTGCATCCTGGAAAATTCCTCACCAACCAATCTACAGGAATCGTATTACAAGTGGACGCTGAGTCGATTTGAGCTTTAATGCTTCTGGTTTTGTCTCCGTTTAGCAATGCTAAATTCGCGAAGAATCTCTTTGCATTCACATTACTTTTATTACTTTCCACGACAAATAGTTCTTCATCAGTCTCGTCCTGAATTCGATTTGCTTTCTCTTGATGCACTCTCCCGGTACTGGTATTTCTACAAACTCTCGAAAAATGGCCCATTACGCCATATTTATTGCATTTTCTACGAAAAGCAGGGCAAAATTGTTGTCGCGGCTGTTTATGCTGATTACCACACCAAGAACATAATCTCGCCATTGTTTGCTGCGATGTTGCAAAATCGTCACGTCCACGGTCGCGGTTCGCTGACTGGTTTCTCTGGTTGCTTGAATAATTTACTTGCTCTTGTTGACTTCCCCTGGCATCTTTCGTCAACTTATTCGTTATCGTTGTTGCTTCGTGTGCTTTAGCTACCTCAACCACTTCTCGTAAAGAAACTTTTTGTCGTTCCCCATCTCTATGACGATGTCCTTTTCCGATTAATTTAACCCGAATTTGCTCGGACACCAAACCAGCTATAAATTGATCCCTCATAAGTTCGTCTTCAAAATTGTCATACTCGCACTGAGCTGCTTGATTTCTCACCCTCGATTCCCAATCTCCTATACTTTCGCCTTCTTGTTGAATAAATCGAAGAAACTTTTGTCGTTCACCAGAAACACCAATACTCGCTCCATAATAATCCTTTAACGCTTGAACAACACAATGCGGTTTCATCTGATCTGCTGCTGATAAGCCCAAAACTATATTTCAAAACTGTTCTTGTCGGCTTCGTTAAAGAAGCTCGTAAACAAGCCATTACTTTGTCAGGTTTAGTCCATTTTTCAGCATCTATTTGTTTAGACGAATCGTACCAATTATTCATTACACTATAATCAATCAAATCCTCGATGTATACTTCTATATCACATTTTCATCACCAGTAGACTTTAGCATAGGAAACGGTAGGTTAACCGAAGACATAATTAATAAACTAATATCCAACCGCTGCCACCATGTTATATTTGTTATAAGCTATAAAGTGTACTGTGCACAAGTCAAATACATATATTTACCATACTCGAAGGGCTTATATACACAATGCCATGCCCAATTAACATATACATATATTAACAGGTATAAAAATAACACTGTCATATCCTCCCCTCTTATACCAGGTGTCTCGTTTCTTACGTTTTTCTTCGGCTCGATCAACCTGTCGCCACTCTCTAGTCCTATGCATGGGATTCTTCCCACAGCTGTCTAACTTCTTGATGTTATCATATGCCTTTAAAGCTGACTTTACTACCTCCATTCTAAACTTCGCATCATAACCAGAAAACTGTAGACGTATCATCATAATTATTGTTCACATGATTAACAAACACTTTCCATGGTAACCGCGTACTACTGTTCAGTAGAATTCTCAATACCTCTTGTGTAAGTATTGTTCTCTTACTACTCCATGGTAGGGCTGATTTTGCATTAACAACGGACTTGGACGGTACATCTTTGAAGTAAAATTCATGTAATATAACTTTTTCAGTCGGTTGTCCTTCATTCCCTTCTCTCTCCTCAATCCAAACTTTTAAGTCAAGTATGGGAAGTTTGTGGTCATTATGGCGTAATGGGCAATCAATTTCCATCTCAATGAATGGGTGAATGCTGTTGGCAATAGATTTGAATAAACGCATCGCTCTTTCATCCGCCTCTATCGACCGATCTACTTCGGCAGCAACTTGATCTTTAACCAGTTTATCACCATTAAACCTCAATCCCAACTGGGGCACACCCATTATAGAGTTTACATCGTCCACATAGCGTTTATACATCCATAACTCCAATCTCATCTCTTTCATCTTCTGTTTAAACTCTCTATCCCACCAAACCATAAATAGTTGTGCAAGGACCCCAGTCAGTTGAAGACCAGTAGGGCCACTGTAGCTTTAGACTGTAGCTTTATCTCGCTGTCAAAGGCATATATATGGTTTTTCATGATAAACAAGAGGGTTATCTTCATGGCTAAAGTACACATTCTACGGGTTGTTTGTTTGTCAGGTTTCTCTTCTGGTGGAATCCATGGTCCAAACCTTTTATCTTTGTAGTTATCCATTGCACATCCCGTGATAGTTGGTGGCCTACCTCTGTTCGTCTTGCGTGTCGGACAAAAACGTAATAGACCTAGGTCTGTCAATTCATTCTCAGTTTTATTCAATGCCAGGTATAGCCCTAGTTTCTTTGGGTCTATATACCAATCACTTTCACGTTACTCGAATAAAAGATCTCGCACACCTTTTCGATCGTAAACAGGACATCCAAACTCGGCTACAACGCCTTCACATCTGCTGATCCTACAATAATATTTTCTGTGATATGACCATCATTCAACTAGCATTCGGCCAGCATCTCTTCAGTATTCATACAGACACTCTCAGCTTCTTTCCAAGCTAGTACTTTTATTCGACTTTTTATCTTTTTATCTTTTTATTATACATAGTGTCGAAAGTTAACAATATATGTATTGAGATATTATTATGAGTTTGAGCAAAACTTTCTTGGCTGCAGCAACAGAAATATCTAGACAGGGTGTATAGAAAAAATTCGAATCGAAATTTTGCGTGTAATAATGCAAAATATATTCGACAAATTTGGTTGATTTTTACACTATTGTTAAGTTCATTTATTTCTCTTTCAAATAACACGTTGTACGCGTAATTTAATTGAAAAATGAAGAAGTACTGGTTCGACAAAAAAAGTTCATAAAAATTACCATTTTCCGCCGATGGGAACTGGACGTTTGTTTTATTGAAAATTAGTCCCAAAGGGCTTTAAATTCTAATCATTACTGAATTAAACTAAAACGCAAATTTATCCCAAAAATTGCTGCTTACTTCAATGTTCAACGATAGAAGTTTGAAGAACACAATGCCACCATTTTTTAAATTTGCATTTTCTTTTGTCTGGAGGTCTCATTTCGAATTCCCATGGGCGGAAAAATTTGATTTCGAGCAACAATTTTTAAAAGACGATAACTCGGCCAGTTTTGGTCGTGTCGATATAAAAGCGGTATAATCGTGAACTAAATAAGATAATCTTTGTTGCCATATAAAAACTATATCGTTTACTTTAGTATTTTATACACAGCAGCTTGTCAAAGTTGGATTCGAATTTTTTTTATACACACTGCATAAG